GGCTTCTTCCTCAAGCACATGAAGGCCCTCTTGGAGCAGGATGCCTTCCGGCAGCTCATCTACAGTCGCAGCAGCAAAGTACAGGGGCTGGATCCACTGCAGGACCTGCAGAGCACCCTGGCCGAGCGTGTACATTCTGTCTATGTCACCTCCCGAGTGTGAGATGGGGGGAGGGGGCGCCTTAGACCTTCTAGGAGCCAAGCTCCTTCCCCAGGGCCCTCACCACTGGTGGTGATCTATCCTTGGGTAGATAGATGCCCGAGCCTGTTTGCCCCATCAGTGACTGGCAAGGCAGGGTATGATCAAAAGGTGACCTATGTCTGCAACTTCATAGGATTTGCACCTTGAGGTTCACTCTATGGCTCCTGCATGCGCAACAGCAGGTCTTGATCCACCTGGGCTCAGCTCACCCCACCCAAGAGAGGCTCTTGGGAGTGTGGGCATCCCTAAGAATGTATAGAATGTCATCTCTCTGCACCCCAGACAACTGAATGCAAAAGCTTGCATTTAGTCTCTCAAATGTCACAGAGGAAGGCTGCCCAAATCGTGGGCCTACCCTCCAGGTTGTGCCTTTGAAAGGCCTAAGCTAAGGGCCTGGCACTGAGTCTGCCGCCCTCCCCCTTCAGGGCTGCTAACGTTGGTCTAGACTCTCAAGGCCAGGGTGTAAGAGGGTACAGCATAGGAGTATGGGGGCATCAGCTCTTGCTGCTGTAGCTCAGGGCCAAAGGAAAGGAACCTCAGGCTGGACTTCAGCCACCTCTGTGAGCTGGGGCAACAGTACTTCCACATTCCCCCGGCTCAGTCTCGAGTGCAAGGTTCTTTTAACTCAGGACTGGAGAGAGGGTCACACTCTCACTGGGACTGGAACCTTGGGCATAGAAGTCCCAGCACTGGTGGGAGGGAAGAGCTAAAGACCATCACCACATCCCAGCCCTGCCTCCCCTTGCAGTCTTGGCTCCTTACCAACTGGCCTGTTTATAGACCGGACACTGGGACAGCATCAGGACAGCTTGCTCTAGGTGCAGCCTGGCTGCACTGTAGAAATTATTTATTCATCAGAAGACCTGGGCAATTCAGGAGATGTCTCTTGGATCACCTTGAAACTCCCCCAGGGACTTAACATTCTTGGAAAATATTTTCAACTAGTGCTTGAGCTGGATGTACAAAGAATAGGTGTTATTTTATTGCTGTAATATTGTATGATACTGTAACATTAATGTTGTCACTTACTGTAAATGTACTATGGTTTTATTAACAATAAACACAATAACAATGACCTTAACCTCAGTGTTCCCCATACTGGGATGCTTGGAGTTCAAAGCTGGGTGAGGGTCCCAGCAGGAACAGAGCTCAGAGCTGATTCCATACCCTAAAGCCAGACCTACGCCGTGCCATCTGCACTCCCCTCTCCCCAGGACCTCAGCCTAACTCAGCTATTTTCATTTGATGGCTGACTGGGCAGGTATGTGCCACTGGGCTGGACAGGAGCTAGACTGAGGAATGGGGCAGTATGCTGGGCTTTGCTGACCTTTGCGCACATGCCCTCCATGGGAAGGCTAGGATGCAGGAGCTTCTTAGGTGTTTAGAGCCCGAGCCTGTGGCTTTGCTGAGCCCTGGCTAGATAAATCATCACGGGGACTATGGCAGAGATAATGGAGTGTGGTGAGCCAGTGACTCAGGCCCAAGGTCTTCCTAGACACTTAAGAGTTTTAGGTGTAAAGTCACAGTTTTCGAACAGAAACAACAATTTCTAGAGTCACCAAAAGCCTAACCAAGAGTCAGTAACATTCCAAGCTCGAGAGCTGGAGAACTATAAAGACCTCCAGAAGCTAGTAGTCTGAAGAAAAACGGGTGAGTCAAGCAGCGTGGATTGAGACAGGCCTTGGGGCCATAGACCCAACTGTGAGGGAGCCCTGGAACATGGACCACAGCGCCCTCTGGGGGGCGTGGGGCAGAGGTGTGCTCCTCAAAGCACCCGGTTAAGGGGAGCCTTGGGAGCACGTGAGATCTGAAGTGGCTGCCCTTCAGGGATCTAGGTCCACCCTCCCAGTAGGGCTGTTCTCTGCCTTTTTAAAAAGCAAGATCTAGTTATATTCTGGCTACAAGTGGGGCTTGGCAGTTTGGGAGGTAAACTTGGGGAGGGGGAGGAAAGTCTAGAAGTAGGGAGATTAAGGGGCAACCCCTTCTAAGCCTGTCCCTCCTGGGAACATGATCTTTAACGAGCTTTTAAAATAACTAGAAAAAAAATTCTTCCCAGGAGCTAAGACTCAGTGGCAGTGGAGGTATGGTTAGTTATCCTAGCAGCCTCCTCCTAATTCTGGACTGTAGGGGGCGCCTCAGCTGCCAGTTAAGCTACCAGCAGCCAGATGGTCTGGGGCAGGGCCAAGATAACTTCTCACCGGAGCACTTGAGTAACTGGCTGAAAGCATCAGTACACAAGACGTTCATTTTGCTCTGTGGGCATGACCCTCACCTGATGTAAAAGGTCCAAGAGCCCGACCGCCTGAGCATGAGCCACCCAAGCAAACACTTAACACTGAATCCCCTTCCTAACACTTCACCCTCCTTTCCTCCATTACCCTTCCCCAAGTCAGATGCAGGGTGGTCAGCTTTTTCATCAAAGCCAAGCAACTCGTTGCTAGCAAGCCAGCCAGGTTGTGAGGCCTTTCCCAGCCCCTTTGTAGGGTCCTTATGATGTTTACCAGCTGTGCACAGAATCAAGGGTGTCTCCAACCTAGTCTAAAATCGCCCATTCAGATCCAGCTTTCCAGCCCCACCTCCCTCCCTGTACACAGCAGCTTCTGTATTAGCCTACATTTGTCTGAGGTGATGGACTTACTTCCGCCCCTCTGCCTCCTGCCAGCCTCAGCAGCCCCCTTTGTGTCTCTTGCTCTCTCCTAAGTCCTCTGGGATGGCCAGCAGATGAGCAGGGGAAAACAATGAAGCAGGCCATCACCTCATCCTGCCCCCCTCGGCCTAGAGGTGGGGTGGTCATTTAGAAACACCCTTTGTTCAGAACCCTTCAGCTCCAACCCCATCCTAGTGACAGCATGGAGAGCTGGCCCATCTGAATTCATTTCACAAGTGGCATCTCCCTAGACAGTCAAGCTTTACAGATGTTCACTGTCTGGGGCCCAGATGGTGAGGTCTGGGGGAGGCACGCCCTTTCGATTTGAAGGAGACCCAAGATCACACACAAAATGCAGAGGTCTGCAGACAACACACGCCTTGAAAGAAGAGTGGAACATGTGCTCCCTTTATGTGTGCAGAGACAAAGGTAAAGGCACTGCATCTTACAACAGGACACAAGCTGCTACTCAAGACCCAGAAGGTCCAACTGCAAAGCACGTGCTCCTTATCCTTGTGGGACTCTTTCTAGCTCAGGCCAGTTCAGTTAGGCATTTTACAACTGGCATGTCAGGGACCTCCTGTGTGCCAGCCACTGTCCTGAGTTCTCCTGCTCCTCTCTACCCTACAGCTAGGGAGAAGCACTGTTACTGCCACCCACAGGTGTACCTGAGCGCAGGCAGAGTGAAGTCACATGCCTGAATCAGCCTGTTTTCTGTTGCTATAACAGAAAAACCTGGGTGGCATATAAAGAGTATTAATTTCTTACAGCTTTGGAGGTGGTAGGTCTAAAATGAAGAAGGTGCTGCATCTGATGCAGGCCTTGCTGGTGGTAACTCTGCTAGTCTGGAGATCCCAAGGTTAACTGGCTTTTCTGGCAGAGCCACTCTAGAGAGAACTCATTTATCCAGGAATAGATTAGCCCATCAATGGAGGAAGAGCCCTCCGGACCCTACCACCTCTTACAGGTCCAGTTCTCCATACCTAAACAAAGGGGATTGAAATTTTCATTTTCACAGTGAAGGAAAACCTTCAACTTGAGCTCTGGTAGGGACAATCAACCACAGCAGTGCCACAGGGAGGGGGCACAAAATCCATGCAAAGTCAGAATCCAAGCACTCACAGGCAGTCTAGACTCAGAGCCCCCTTACCTTAAATTCAGAGCAGAGCCACTGGACAAACCTTAGGGGTGAGGACACAACAAGGGTTCCTTCCCCAGCTGGAGGAGCATGTGCTTGAGAAACTTCTAGCAAAAAGCCGAGTGCTGGTGGCTCACGCCTGTAATCCTAGCTACTCAGGAGGCTGAGATCTGAGGATCGCGGTTCAAAGCCAGCCCGGGCAGGAAAGACCGTGAGACTCCTATCTCCAATAAACCACCAGAAAACCGGAAGTGGCACTGTAGCTCAAATGGTAAAGCGCTCACCTTGAGCTGAAGAGCTGAGGGACAGCGCCCAGGCCCGGAGTTCAAGCCCCACGGCCGACAAAAAAAAAAAAAAAAAAAGAAACTTCTAGCAAACTGGCCAGCTATGATCTCCTAAGATTTGGATTCTGCCTTTTGGCCACACTCGCCTAAGAATATGCTGAGAGCAGGCTCAGGACCCTACCTGAGAAAATAGGCAAATATTTTCCCATTTCTCTTAAGCACTTTCCTGCAGACCTAATGGAGGGCCCGTGGCAGGAGGCAGCAGCTCCGGCAAAGCCCTCAACACTGGAGTCTTGACTGTCCTAGGGACAAGCACCGACCTGAGCTTCTCCAGCTGGGACGAGCGCCAGGAGTGGTGTGTGGTCCAGAAGCTTCCCTCTCCTCCAGTCTTTTTGCTAGACCGTAACCAGCCTAGTTTACATGCCCAGTACCAGGCATGTAGGTTAACTCACCACAGGACACCATCAGACAAAGCGATAGGTGTGAAGCTACCATACAATGCCCATCCCCAACAAAGGGGATGGCCCAAATGACCTGGCAGGAGCTGACTTCTAGCCACACCATGCCTCTCAAGATGCCCACGGCATCATTCAGATTCACCAGGCTTCCCATAGGCACAGAGTTGGGAAATGCTAGCCACATTACACCGTTTCTTTGTCAGACAAGATCCACAAGAAGAAAAAGGACAACCACCTCCACAGATGTGGATTTCAAAAGCACTTCAGACAAATGATCTTTCTAGGATGTTATTAAAAATAGACTCTCTATCCCTCCCCATCCACTGCGAGGGCCTTTAAACATTTTCCCAAAAGGATGACAGAATAGGTCTTAGGGACTCAGATGCTGTACTCTAAAGGCCCAGGCTTTTCTTGGGGTGTTGAGGGCAGGAGTGTAACGAAAGACACATTAGCAGCCCCTGAGTCTAGCAGATACCAGGCCCTGCTGAGCCACTGGGTGCACAAGCTGCTCCAGGCCTCAGGGTGTTGAGTCCATGAAGAGACCTAGCTACCTATGGCAGCCTCTGAGCATCACCAGAAGGCTGCAGTTAAGGACCTGAGAAGGAACAAGAACCAGTGTGGCTTCCCCATGTGTGTGAATGAGCTGAAAAGCTGGCCTCAGGGGAAAAGAGGGCCCTGAAATGAGGGTTGGGAACATCTCCATGGCAGTGCACAGCTGTGCCCAAGCATCAAGTTCTAAACAGACCTGCTGGGGAGGGCCTGCCTCTTCAGTCAGTGGACCCAAAGACAGACAGGTCTATGGGGAATCCCTGGCTGGTGTCAGTGTTCACTGGGACCCTTGTTGCTGTCACTCAAGTCAGAGGTACTTCAGGAGATGAGGTGTTTCCTCACAGCTTGGCCTGACACCCAGGTTTTGCACTATTTCTTCCATTTCAGCTTCACATCCATTTTGTTCTTTGTATCTCTGTTTCTCTTCAACTTCTTATGTTTGGGTTCATGTTTGGCTTCCAGCTTCCTTTTCTTTTCACTGGAGCTAAAACACAGACACACACACATACAAAAAAAAAAAAAAAGGAATAGAGAAAAAAATGAAGCATACAGATCTGAAACACCTCTCAGGCTGCTCTGCTGGGTCAGCAAAGAGTCCTGGCCTGAGTGATCTGAGAACACCTCATCAGGCCCGTTCCCTGCAAACATGCAATAGTGGCTGGCATCATGCCAGGCCCAGCTCCTGCTCTAGCAGAGCACTGAACATGTGGAGGAATGCATGAAACCCAGGCTCTCTTCAGTGCTGTACATTCCCCCCTCCTGAGACCTAGAAACATCTAAGCAACACAACAGGGGCTTCAATGGGGGTTTCCTCCACTACTCACTACCAGTTACCTGGAAAACAGACATGGTACCCCAATGACCTCCCATGAACGTACTTCACATAGACATGAGATGTCGAGGAAAGCCAGACATCCTTTCTGATGCACGGCTGCTATTTTATTTTTCTGACATAAACACTGGAGGAATGCTGACTGCAACTGGCCAGTATGACTTGTGACAGGCTGGTGCAGAGACTGCTTGGCAAGCAGCCCCCTGCCTGGAAGGAACCCCAAGAGGGGTTCTCTCCATGGCACTGTGCCCTGGGAACAGGACTGCCTATAAAGAGTGAGCAGTTTGGCAGAAGCCACTATTATATAAAATACTTCTCAAGGAAAAAAGAGAAGACTTATGCAAGTCTTTAAAGAATATTTAATGACAGAGTGTTAAGGCTCAATGGTAAAGGGTTTGCTGCTTGTCATGCACAAAGCTGGGAGTTTACTCCCCAGCAACACACAATAAAAAAAAAAAAAAAACCAATCCCACATTGTTAATGTCAAACGTAATAACTGTGTATGTGTGTATGCGTGCATGCGTGCATGCCAGTTCCAGGACTTGAACTCAGGGACTTGTGTTCTCCCTTGGCTTTCTCAAGCACTATGCCAATTTAGACATGCCTCCAGTTGGCTTTTGCTAGTTAATTTGACTCTCACAGACTCAAACTGCCTGGGCTAGCTTTGAACCATGAGGAGTTAAGATTATAGGCATGAGCCACCAGTGCCAAACATTCCTAAACTTTCTGATTTTGATTCTTAGTATAGAAACTAGCAAGAGATATGACCCCATAAACATTCCTGAGTCTTTTTTTTTTTTAATATAAAGACTCTAAGACCCCAATTCTTTTTTTTTTGGTCCAGTCGTGGGGCCTGAACTCTGGGCCTGGGCGCTGTCCCTCAGCTCTTCAGCTCAAGGCTAGCGCTCTACCACTTGAGCCACAGCGCCACTTCCAGCTTTTGTCTTTTTGCTTATGTGGTGCTGAGGAATCGAACCCAGGGCCTCAGGCATGCAAGGCAAGCGCTCTACCACTAAGCCACCTTCCCAGCCCCTCTAAGACCCCAATTCTGAGAACTGTCTTAGAGGATAATGTGTCAGCTTTGCAGTAAGCACACACACCAAGATGCAAGCTGTGTCCTTTACAGGCTGTGCATCCTGTGAAGTCACTAAGCCCCTCTGAGCCTTGGTTACTTCACACATACACAGTTATACACACATGGCTGTTTCTATAGTGTGGTGGTTATCATGTCCACCTCACACGGTTACATGTGGCACATATACATCTACACACACACACCGCCTGTTGTTGAGGCTGACACTGCTTCTTCATAGGCAATATGAGGCTGCTCCCTTGTTCCCAACAGGTGCAAGCCTGGCCTATTGGTGATGCCTAGAGGGGAAGAGAGCCAGCCTAGAGACAGCCGTCTTGTCTGTGGATGTGCTATAAAGGTGGTCAGCCATGACCTTCTCTCAGGGCTTCCCACAGAAAGCTATGGAGAAGCCATAACCAGAGAGCTCATCAGAGGTGTGTCAAAACTCCAGGCTCTCACCTTTTCAGGCTGACAATGGAAGCATTCTGCCCAGCTTTGTTCAATACTTCATTCCACTCTTCATCATCCCCACGGATTATGTATCTATAAACAAAGGAAATGTGTCAAAACGTGCTCAAGAGGAGAGTGGAACACTTAAAAGGGCTCCCGAGGAAGGAGTTAAGCATTTTAGAATAGAATCCTTTCTCAAACAAATATACATACCAAAGCCAAATATAAAGAAGCAGCCAGTAAAAATGGATGCTCATCCACTTTAGCATCCCCTTCCATAAGGGACACCTAAGGCATGACACAGAACTGGAGGGATCTAGGGAATACCCTTGGAAGCCAAAGTGACAGAGAGGGAAAACCAAATGCTCTGCAATTTCATGAATCGTCAGTGAGGTTTTCAGCTGTGGGTGCCCTGATACAGTTTCCAGGGCACCTGGAAGGTGGGTTAGAAGGAACCCATAGTAACAGCCAGGGCTGCAGAGACGGAGGCAGAGCCGCTGTGCCGCAGAGCAAGAGCACTCTTACTGTGAGAGGTCCATGTTCTTCAGCTTCCCCACTTCCTTCTGGTGCTTCTCCTGGAATTCCTTTGCTGCTTCATCCTGTGGGTTAAACAGGTCAGAGTTCAGAAATAAGCAAAGCACAGGAGATGAAGGGAGAGAAGAAAATGCTAATGACAAGGAAACATTTCTTCTCTTAGCTTAGCCTCAAAATCATATCGGTAGCTCTTAGGATTTTAAAGTATGTCTGTATGTTAAATGTTTATTTGAAAAGTACCTAAGAGGACAAACAACGTTTATAACAGTTGATGCTGTGTCCCTGCACTCACAGCAGGAGGCCCATCTCTAGGTCCTGTGCACTGACATGCGCAGGATGAACATGACATTCTCTTGGCCCTAGCTTAGTGCAGAGGACTCTTCTAAAGGGGACGAAGACAGGCTGCATCCAAAGGCCAATGGCAACTGAGGGAAATACCAAAGTCTCCAATGGTGACGTACCAAGTCATCACTCAGGGTCTTCATTGTGGGCTCCATGACAACGTCTTTCACTGCCACCATCTGCTTCTCAATGGCCTTTTCCTGTACATCAGTAAACAGCTACAAAACATAAAAGAAGATGAAATGGCAGCAGGGGCTCCCCACTCATTCCCAAAGCACTTACTGTGCTAAAGGCGTGCCTCCAAGGTACAAAGACATGCTGCCAAACTCAGGTGCCCAGATCCTTACACTAAGACCCCAGAACCAGAGCCCAGTGGACAGAGACTGCTGCCAAGGCACCAAATTTGTGTGTGTGTGTGTGTGTGTGTGTGTGTGACCAGTCAAACTTAGGACAGGAATGGGTGTGTGGTATTATTAGAAAGAGAACAAAACCGTGCTCTCAGACAGAGGTAGTTACCTTGACAACTTTGCGGATTATCCGGTTGAAAAGCCCCATCAACTGGCCCGAGGGCAGCTCAATCTCCTTTTCCAGCTGGTCCACAGACTTATGCTGGAGGCCGATCCCCAAGAGAAGAGCCTGAAGGAAGGCAAATCAGCTAGAGTAACAGGTTCCCTGAGTACCAGTCACCTTCTTTTGACTAGAGCTAGCTGATAAAAAACAGACAGTGCTTCACCATCCTATCATTTTTTTTTTTTTGGGTCCGGTCATGGGGCCTCACTCTGGGCTTGGGTGCTGTCCCTCAGCTCTTCAGCTCAAGGCTAGCGCTCTACCACCTGAGCCACAGCACCACTTTCGACTTTTGTCTTTTTGCTTATGTGGTGCTGAGGAATCAAACCCAGGGCCTCATGCATGCAAGGCAAGCACTCTACCACTGAGCCACCTTCCCAGCCCCACCATCCTGTCATTCTAACTACCCCGACAAATGCCTGCTTCACAACTGCTCAGGGGTATCCTGAGCTTCCAGTAAGGTCGAGTTAAATCTCAAGACAATGTAGTGAAATGGAAAGAATACGGGCTCTAACTGTAGTTGCCCACTTATACAGTGTACAGTGGGATATAGCACTTGACCTCAGACCTATAGGAGACCACTGCCCACCTACCACAGATCTGCCAGGAACCAAAGGCACAAAATTATGTTGGAGCACTCAACCCAATGCCCAGCATACACAGAGGTCCACAGTCCTCCCTTCTCTTCCCTCCCCTTGGCACCGAGTGACCTACCGACTGGGCGGCAGACAGGGCCAGGTCCCCCAGCTGGTTCAGGAAATACAAGCGGGAGATGGCTGGGATCAGGTCCATGATGAGGTGATAGTCCACCATGTTCCGGGAATACATTTCTAGCCGCTTCAGGTCATAGGGAAGGAAGAGTTCCTCCAGGTGCTCCCGGCCTAGGGCTGCACACATGACAGAAACCAGGTTAGATGAAGGGAGGATGTTGGACAGCCAGAAGCCATCTAGAAGTGGCTGGCCAAAAATCCAAGTCCTGAGCTAGCAGTGTAGACAGTGGGCATGTGACCAGAATTCCCAGGCCAGTACTTCAGTCCAGGCAAAGAATGTGACCAGAGTTCCCAGCCCAGTACTTCGGTCATGAGAAAGACTCGCTGTGCCCTAGGGTTAAAAGGACATGCCAATACTCTTCCCCCACTTAGCCGCTGCCCCTCAGGATTCAGCTCCTTGGAAAATGCATGTTCTCCCCAGTGCAAGAAACATAGATATTCCATTAAAATGCAACTGGCGGGGGAAAAAAAGTATACATCCACATGTGTACATGTATACACAGAAATATATGTCTAGATATATGGAAAGACCAGCTGTTAATGATTCCTTTGGCATTTTTTAAATTCTTCAAATTTGAACTATTCTGGGCAGTGATTTATGTGCACAAAGCGTGTCTACATGTTGGCCACAGATGGCTGGCAACACATTCTTCCTACAATTTCACATGAGGAAACCAAGCCCCAAAGATGGGGTAAGTTCCCTGAGTTAGCTTCGACAGCTAACTGCTTGTGAATTCCTCTGACATCCAGTCACACTCTCAGAGTCCTGTCATAAAGTACAAGATGGCATGGATGACAGTAAGCCTGGGGCAAGCCTGGGCAGTGCAGGGCTTGGGGAGGTGGCAGGTTTAGAACTAGGCCTCAGTTCCAAGGCAAAAAGCTCACCAGGCTGAGCTGGTTTCCCAGCGTTCTTGTTCTGAATGATGTTCAGAGCCAGAGCAGGAGAGAAGGTGCTGAACTGGTAGGACAGCAAGGCCAGGAACCGCCTTCGGAAATCTACAAGGTACAACCAGTTAGCAGTCTTAGAGGCACACATATAAACATCTACACACGCACACAGACTCACATTCCCGTCACCTCCTGCCCTCTCCCCCTCATCACACCAGTAACATTCACCTTTCCAAAAGGCTGCGAGCCAAGCTCCCTGCTCCTGCTCCTGCTCCTGCTCCTCAGTCAGCACCTTGAGCATGATGCATGAGTGTTCTCCCGTCAGGTCATTCTAGGGAACACACATCCATACTTGGCACCAAAACCACTTTTCTGAACAGCCGATCAGTGGCAAATGGCAGGCATGCAGAGAAAGAAAGGCTTAATGCACCCCAGGCTCTTCTTCCTTCCTCACAAGAGAGAGTTCTACAGCAGGACTCTCACCTTACATTCCTTATCACCCAAGTTCATACACCTGGGCTTCCAAAACTTACTCCATAAGACAACTTCCTACAAGTTGCCATGGAAATGGAGAAGGCAAGACAGAATCTATTTCTAACTTTCACTCTGGACCTATAGAAAGCAGTCATGTGTTCCTTTTAGGTAGATTCTGAACTCAGGATCATGAATGCTTAAACTCCATACAGTATCTTACAGCAAAAAAAAAAAAAACAACTCCACAGTTATACCCAGAGTTTGAAGCTGACAGCTAGCATACACAAATAGACTTTTTTAGGGGCTAACATAGCAACTATGACAACAGGTTTCTGTTGAACAACCAGCCCCTCAGTTTAATAATGGTTTTCCACTGTAGAGCATTCATGAAACATAGTGCCAGCAACAAGTCACAATGAACACCACTCAGCCAGAGTCCACAGGACAGAGCAATCTACATCAAGGATCACCAGTCTGCATCCTCCTCACACTCAATAGCTAAATTTATCTCTTGACCTCAACCACACACACTAACAAATACCAGCCCATCTCTACTGTTCCATGCTAGCACACAAGCAGCCAAACACTTAAATCTTTGCCAGTTATCCTTTCATTGGAGTTCAAACCTACCAACTAAGGGAGCCCCCAACCTACAGGAGTCTACAACCTGAAAAGCAAGTCCACATGTACCTCTGCCACTATGTAACAAAGCACAAACGCCAGGAAGCACCAAGCCCACCAGGTGAGTGGGGTTGTCACAGCAGGGTTATCACCAAAGGATGGCTCTCCCATGTCTGCCACAGTAATCTGCTGCAGAAGCACAGGACACCTCTAGACATAGCAGCAGGAGGTGCCAGGGTCCTACACAAGCACAGACCTGGGCCAACTGCAGCCCCAATCCTAACTCTACCTCTCCCCAATGTCTCACTCACCGGGGTCTGCCTCAAATAGACAGGAACAAATCCAGCACGTTTCCAAAATCTGAAAAGACAAGGATATGAAACCATGTATACACCCTGAGGAGCAGCTGAGAGATTGAAGAGGGGACAATGGGGAGAAAGAGCAGGGAGCCAGAGGTGGCTACATAGACTCTGGCTACAAAAGAAAACACAGCCAACACAACGTCTGGGAGTCACTTACTTGAGGAGCCTGGGGGTCAAACCATAGGAAACACCCAGGTAATCTAGGCGCTCTGCAGGCCTCTCATTCAGTTTGAGTAGTAGAGGAGGCAGGTCCTTCCGGGGAGTGATGACCTCTTCCAACAAGCTGACAGCCTTGGGAGAGGCAGACACACCACCCACTCAGCAGAGAGAGAGTGCCGTGTGACATTCTCCTATCCCCTGCCACATCACACAACAAAATCCAATGCTAGGGGCTTTGATGTAGTACAGTGGCAAAACGATTGCCTAGCAAGTATAACATCCTAAGTTTGATCCTCAGTACCAAAAATTAAATGAATAAAAATTTAAACTAACAGTTGGTTTAATAAAACAAACAGCTAAAAAAAAGTAAGAGGTTTCATGGTCTGTTCCTGTGTTTTCTAATAGAACCACAGTGAGTCAAGTAATCATCCCAACAGCTAGCCATCTACAGAATTATACTGCTCTGAACCTAGAATGCAGGAGAGGACAGAGAGTTTGGCAATGATTAATAAATTCACAAAGGGATAGAAGTAGGGTTCTGAAGATCTAGCATGAAGTCCAGGTTCTGTCAACTATGATCTTGAAAAGTAACAAACAGGAGGCTTCCCCCGCCCCAGCTGCTACACAGACACAGTGTGGAGATCCGCCAGCGAGTATGAAAAGCCTTCAGACACTGCTCATCCATATCAAGGGAAGGCAGAGCTTCCTCAAGCCTCCTTTTGTGCTAATGAGGACACTACAGAGCAGTCACCTCAGGAACATGGTATGAACCACATACTGTAGGACCTGCCCCATTTTCAATTCAGCAGGTATGGATAGGGTTCACAAATGCTCATTCTTAACAGGTTTCTGGAGGATGCTGATGATCTCACCTCAAGTGTTAAGCTGGAAAAAGCAGCCACTTTCCCAAGTGCATAGACTCTAGATTGTACATACTGAAACCCCCAAGATAAATCCTCCCCAGGCCCTAGACAGACATTTTGCCAAAGCATGCTCACCTCGCTGCTCACGGTGTGGATTTCTCGTGATGTCTCAAGGACCTTGTCCTCCAGACAAGGAAACCTGCCTTCATAGTACATCTGCAACAACTTCAGAGCTCGGCTGCCATAGCCCATCTTGGAGCAAACAGAAAAAGAGGCAGAGGGAAGAAAAGCATTCTCAGTCTAACATAGCTTCTAGAGCATTCACTCCTAGCCACACTGCGCTTGGCAAAGAACATCAATGAAACCCCTCAGTGCTGTCAAGGATGAGCTTCAAACACAGTATGACCCTAATATTATACTGGTCTAACCCACCAAGAAAAGTCCCTTGCAGTCTAAGGCTAAAGATGGCTGGCTGTGCTTTCTGGTTCCCAGATCAGCAAGTCCAAAGGAAAATCTGTGCCACTGCCAGAAAGGCAAGTTTCTACAGCTGATGCCTCAATGGGGCTTTCCAAGTGACAGAAGGTAATTACAGAAAGCCAATCTGTTCAACAAGTCCTTTGTTCTCACAAAGGAAAGCGAGTAAATCATCATCCTGCCCACCCCAAGCCTTGGATTAAATTCTCCAGAGCACAGAAGGGTCTAGAACTTTATTTCGTGTCCACCTTCTTATTATGCCTGTCATAGACATGTTACCCCTTGATAATCCGGGTGAACAGCAATGCGAACAACTCTGCCACCAGAAAGGCCACCAAAGTCTGGATCTTGGAACTGTATGGGAGACACAAACCAGTAACTTAGTAACACATCCTCCAACACCACCATCTTTCTCACTCAGATGTGATAATCAGGTCATCTTTACCTGTTCTGACACCGTCCATGGAATCAGGTCTCCTGAAGCCTTCTTGCCTCGAGAGAGGCTATTCAGGATGGACTGGCGTGAAATCTCCCCTTCAAGGCATACCTGAGGGGAACCAGGACACAGGGAAAGACACAGCCTAGCTCTGGATTCCAAATATCAATGTCCTGTTGCTTCTCTGACAAAGCTGGCTGATTCCACTCAAGCTCAACCCTGACACTCATTAACCCATTTTTAACAGAAGCTTCTTTTGTCACACCCCTGGTTACTGACAAGGCAAAAACTGGTATCTACCTAGCCTCAAGAACAAAAACAATATTTAAAGAGGGTATCATATTTGTTATGCATCTACCGTGTGTGCATCAATTAAAAACAGAAGATGCTCTTGCAGCTCTGTGCAAATCAGAATAGCTCCAGTCTAACAGGAGAGGGAGATGACAAAATATGGGATAATATATAATCAAATACATTGCAATTTTTAAAAATTTACATAGATTTAGGAAAAAGATACATACTACTTAAGAGAAAAGCAGATTAGTAATTTTGTGAAAAATGAGGTAAGTGATACCTATAAACATGCCAGCTGTTAAACTCTTCTCCAATCTGCAGCCTTTAACTTCATAAGTCATTGCTTTTATAATGAAGAGAAAATAAAGAGTTCTGAATTTACCTACCCATCAACAGTGCTGCTCTGAGTTTCAAAGTGTAGTGGTTTCTTCTAGTGCACCCTAATAACCCACCTTGACAGACCCAGATACATGGCCCTTGGCCAGGACTCAACAGCTTCTCCAGCTGCACAGATGCCCAAGAGTTCCCCCAATCAATGTCACAAGGATAGCATAATCTGTACCTGGACAACTGCAAGCACTTCGGGCAGGGCATTCTGGGTAGGGGGCACAGGAGGAAGAAGGCAGAAGAGATGGTGAGCAGGTGCATCTGAAAGCATCTGGAGATCATTGGGCGAGTTCTGCAGGGCATAAACATGGGTCAGCAGAAGCATGCCAGCTCTTGTCCTTCACTTAAGAGGCCTGACAGACTCATTGGGTGATTATAGTACTGCCTCCCCACAAAGCCAAGTAAGGTGCTCGAACTCCTTGCAAAGCACACCTTACCAACACGATGTGGAGCCTGAGACACCACGGCAGCCCCAGTAGAACTGAGCCTCTAATACCTACTGGCCTCTCAGGCCAGAAGAAGTTATTTAGCACTACTCAGTTCACAGCAAGGAAGTGAACTTTCTCCAGATAAAAGGCTGCTATTTCAGGAAAAGCTGCCACTAGGTCCCAAACCAACTCTTCAGTCTTACATTAAAGGCCATTTGTGAAAATGAAACATAGAAACTCAGAAAATATTCTTTCTGCTTGCCTTTAGTACTTAGGAGCTTCAAATACTACTAAGTGCTCAGATTCATACTTCCCAAAGATAGGTCAATAGAACAAAGCTGGTCTCAGGACAAACAACTCCCTGGACTACAAATGCAAAGGCACTCAGTCTTTAAGTTTAGGAGGCTCTGAAATGGGCAAAGTTTTCTACCCTCTCCAGCTCCCACTCGTGAAACTGCACACAGGAATTCTGTAAGGAAGCTATAGTAACCACAAGGGTAAATCAGTCCCCCTCCTTTCCCAGCAAGATTGCTGGACCTCGCCAGCACCAGGACATTTAAGTCCCAATGGAAAGGTCACTTGAGCTATGGAGTAAAAGGTATGGACAGACACATAAGAGAACTGCCCACAAAGCTTCAGCCACAACCTGCTCAAGATCAGCAGAAGGCTAGCTGTAGTTACCTTGTAGTGAGAAGCCACGTAGAGGGCCACAAGCCGCTGCAGGAAAACTTCAGAGGCTTTGTGGTAGCAAAAGAGTGTATCTCTATTAACATAGTAGCTGGTCTAGAGTTAAGCAACCAAAACAAACCAAAGAGAATGCCACACAGGACATAGAGGAAAAAGTATGGACTGGATCCCCTCAGGCTGGGGAGATAAGCCTAGCAGCCCCAGCAAAATGTAAGACTAGAGAGGGAAAATGACAAATAAAATGTGTTCAAACTATGTCTTATTTTCAGAGAGGATCATATTATGTTGCCTGGGCTGGCCCTGAACTCCTAGGCTCAAAACTATTTTCTTTTTTTTTTTTTGGGTCCGGTCGTGGGGCTTGAACTCTGGGCCTGGGCGCTGTCCCTCAGCTCTTCAGCTCAAGGCTAGCGCTCTTCCACTTGAGCCACAGCGCCACTTTCCGGCTTTTTTCTTTTTTGCTTATGTGGTGCTGAGGAATCAAACCCAGGGCCTCAGGCATGCAAGGCAAGCGCTTCTACCATTGAGCCACCTTCCCAGCCCCTCAAACTATTTTCTTGCCTTAGCCTCCACAGTCAGGATTAAGACTAAAGGCATGTAACATAACCCTGGCCCAAACCTTTAGTTCTTGCACTCCCCGTCCCTTTCACAAGGCCAATGAGACCCAGAGGATACAGCTCACAGGCTTCAGGCAAGGGGCAGCCTGAGATGATCCGAGTAATGTTGAGGCAATCCAGGCACAACAGGTCATTCAGCCACTTCTCCACTGCATCACCAGGGGCATATCGGATCGACTCTTGGAGGGACACCTCATGCAATGTGCGTGCTGTTCCAAAGTCACACATGCAATTAGAAATAATTGAGCCAGGTACCAGTGGCTCACACCTGTAATCCTAGCTACTTACTCAGGAGGCTGAGATCTGAGGATCACAGTTTGAAGCCAGCCAGGGCAGGAAAGTCCATGAGACTCTTATCTTTGGTGGTTAAATAACTACCAGAAGGCTGGAAGTGAAGCTGTGGCTCACATGGTAGAGCGCTAGCTTTGAGAAAAAAAAAATCCCAGGGACAGTCCCCAGGCCCTGAGTTCAAGCCCTAGGACTGGCACAAAAAACAAAAAAAACAAAATAAAATCAAATAATTACTGAGCAAGGAAGAATGATTTCACATCATCTTTGGCACATAGGGCCTAAATAAAACAGCTCATGAATTTAAACTGGGTGGTTTTAAATTGTTTTGGTGGACAATCAAATTGCCTGTTACTAACCTCACAAGGATCTCACTAAGACAGTACAACCCATGCCCTGGGCCAGCCACCCAGAGACCCAAGTCAAGCTCCCATCTATTCCTCAGTGAAAAGTTCCTTTGCCTCCAGGGATCCAATCTTTCTGTTAGTGCTGCCCATCAGGTCCCTGGGGGAAGCAAGGGTCCATCCAGAATGCAAGTCTCAGGACACTTGTTGTGAACTCTAAGCCTGGCCAGGGTCCCAAGGGTACCTGAAGCCAATCTGGCTGTGGTTGTGGTCTTGTTCTCTGCAGTGGTGCTGACTTGGCTCTGGGCACTCTGCTGACGGAGCTGCTGAATTAGCTTGAGGGACAGTGACCGGCCAGTGCCCTCATAGCTAGGAGAAAGACAAAGACTGTCAGGAATAAAGTTCTCAATCTGTTTTCTAGGAGGGGACAGCTAACTGCTACTTCCAGCTTCTAGCTCAGAGCTATCAGGCTTGGTACCCAAGCCTGACTACCCAGTGTAGTCTTGGTACCCTTGGGTAAGGAATTCAATCATGTTTAGCCTAATTCTCCAAAGGGGACTACTCCACATGCCTCACCGCTGAGGTGAGCTAAAAGAGAAGGCTGACAAAAATGATGAAAGGAAAGCCTTTAATACAGTGAAATTCAAACAAAGTTTAATGGCCAACTGTGGGAGCTATAAGAAGAAATACGTCAGAAATATGAACCAAAGTTAATTCTTTTCATAGCCACTGTGATATAAACTAAGTGTGATAACACAGGCCAACCACAAAATACTATATACTTTATGATTCTATTCGTATGACTGTCCTGAAGTCTACAGGAACAAGAAGTATCTTAGTGGCTTCCCAGATCTGGGAAGTATGGAGGGGACTGGAGGATGTAATTTCTTTGCATGGAGATGAACATGTTCTGGAATTGACTGTAGTATGCAGGTTGCACAATTCTGATTGTAAAAACCACTGAACTATAAACCTTAAATGGATAAAAAGCATGGCACGTAAATTATATACCACAACAAGGCTCTTTTTAAAAAGACATATTTATATATTTTCAATACAGAGTCATAATAAATTTACAATACAGAATCATAGTATTTACACAGATCTTTCCAATATTGAAGATATATATTGGTGATCCTAAAAAGATTTCACAATACACTGTTATGTAAAAAAGCAAATTCAGAGACAGGTTTCATAGTATAAGCCTATCATCCCAGCTACTCAGACAGAGGCAGAAGGTAAGATGAAAGTCAGCCTGGGCAAAATTATGGAGATCTTACCTCAAAAACAAAACATAACTAAGTGCCAATGGCTCATGCTAAATGTCAATGACTCACACGTGTAACCCTAGTTACTCAGGAGGCTAAGATCTGAGGATCAAGGTTTGAAGCCAGTCTGGGTAGGAAAGTCCCTCTGACTCTTATCTCTAATTAACTATCAAAAAGCTGGCAGTGAAATTGTGTCTCAAATGGTAAAACACTATCCTTGAGCAAAAATAAGTTGTAAAAAAGCTCAGGGACAGCGTTCAGGCCCTGAGTTCAAGCCTCAGGACCAGCATGCCCATGCACACACACACATGTACACAAACATGCACAAAGACGATTCAAGTAGTAGATGTCTGCTTAGCAAGCATACAATCCTTAGAGTTCAATTCTCAGTACCATTAAAAAAATTTTAGGCCGGGTGCCAGTGGCTCACACCTATAATCCTAGCTATTCAGGAGGCTGAGATCTGAGGATCATGGTTTAAAGCCAGCCCAGGCAGGAAAGTCCATGAAACTCTTACCTCCAATAAACCACTCAGAAAACCAGAAGCAGCACTGTGGCTCAAGTGGTAGAGCGCTAGGCTTGAGCTGAAGCGTAGAGGGACAGTGCCCAGGCCCAGAGTTCAAGCACCATGACCAAAAAAAAAAAATTTAAGTGACTTTTCTTTATTGGGGGGTATGAAGGGCAGCAGTGGTAGTTTGAGATAGGGTCTTGCTATGTAGCCCAGGCTGGTCTTGAACTCAAGATCTTCCTGCCTCATCCTCCTGTGTGACTGGATGGTCATGTACCACTATACCTGACTGGCGGTGTAGGCATTTTATGTGTGCATGTTATGGACTTCTGCACCCAAGGCCATGGGTAAGTGTAATGCCATATATGCAAATAATTGCAATATCTTAATACGAGTTATTGGAAATGCCATCCATTTTCTCTTTCAAAATCTAACCACACCTAGAAAGAGACAGGCATTACATGGGTTCCAAAATTCTTCAGTCTTATGCTGCTCACCAGGAGAGGCCAGCTCCTGTATGAGAAGTTCCAGGAAAGAATGAAGCCAACCCAAAGACTCAGAGTGGGACTCAAGTCTAAGGCACAATCACATGCTCCCTCTTCTGAAGAACGAATCAAGAGTAATGACTTCAAGCTGGACATCAATGGCTCACGCGTGTAATCCTAAATACCCAGGAGATTGAGATCTGAGGATCACTATTTAGCCACTAATTAGCCACCAAAAAGCCAGAAATGGAGCTGTGGCTCAAATGGTAGGTAGAGCACTAGTCCTGAGCACAAAAGTTCAGGGATAGCATCCAGGCCCTAAGTTCAAGCTCCGGGACTGGCATCAAAAAAAAAAAAAAAAAGAGTAATGAATCCACACAAGGTACCTTACCCATTAATGGTGGATGCCATGAAGACGAGGTAGGGCCCAAGCAGACTCTTTACCAGGGGGAGCGGGATGGCAGCGGCTTCATCAATCACAAGAAGCTCAGCCTGGCCCAGTTTCACCGCATCTGCAGGATGTATATACTGTGGAGGAGTATTTAGATTGTGAGCAGGGCTGCTGACAGGCACATCAAAGTCCACCCTCTGTGGACTTTCATCCTTTCTACATTTTCTGTGCAGGTCAAGAATGGAATGAGAGTCATACACATGGGACCAAGTAGTTCAATTACTTTGTGATCTTGGACAAGTCACTGAAGCACCCAGGGTCTCTAATTCTTCTGTAAGACCGAGGAAATACCTGCCTTGTGTTGGCTTAAAGAGAACAATCATAAAACATTATGCACAAACATCTTGCATGCTGACAACCCGGAGGTGCTTTTCCTTTTCCTCCCGGCCTCAGGTTAGGGAGGTCAGTGCACAGCTGCAACCGGGTGGTGGACATCAATTTTCTCCTGCTGGGTGCTGTGCTCCCTGCCCTGATATGACAAACCTCCTGCACTGGTAAGGAATACCCAGACTTTTCATGCTTACACAGCCCCACCGCCCCCTCAGTTTCACAAAGGCCTTTGTAAAAAGTCCACAAAGAGGTATTTTACAGGAGTGGAATCTTGAATAGCCAATTAACACAGCAAAGATAATTCAGCTGTGTGAGTAATAAAACACTAAATACAAGGAGATACCATTCAACATGACAGACAAAAACAAGTTCTCATGAATTTAAACAGCTCTGGGGGTGGTTGAACTCAGGGTTTCTAGCCTGCCTAGCAGGCACTCTACCACTTGAATCATACATCCAGTTCTTTTTTTGCTGTAGTTATAGTTTACACAGTATCTTGAGCTTCTTGTCAAAAGCCAGCCTTGGACTTTGATCCTCCTACCTACACCTCCCTCATAGCTGGGATTATAGGCATGAACTACCATACTCTGCTGCCTATGGCTTGCTTTTTTGTTGGGGAGGAGGGTAGTAATTGAGGAGGAATACTAGAGAATCCTCAAGATCCTAACGTTTGATTCTTAAAGAAACTAAATAAGCACCTCATAAAAGCACAGAAAGCAGCCCCCAGGGACGGTGCAGCCAACTTTCATCTAATCATTTTCTCAATCTCCAGCCAAAAGAAAAAGGTCTTAGAGGATCATAAATGGAGTCTTGTAAAGCCAAATCACCAACTATGCTTTTATCTAGTCTGGAAACAAAAATGACTCTAGTAACACAAGAGGGGATCTGATTACAGATTCATGGAGGAGCAAGGGCTGAGCCTTATTTCAGGGAAATGCTTTCCTTCTTATGCATTTTCCTTCCGTCTTAACAGATTCTGTGTTTCCTGAGCCTACCTCACCCATTTCTGACCCCACCAACACCAGTCTTCTCCCTCTCAGCTGAGAAAATCAGACAATAGTGGGAAGAAATATGTAAAATGAGGAGACTCTAGAAAGATCTCTAGAAAGAGATCTAGAAAGAAAAACATCCTTAAAGGATTAGTATTGATCAAAGGTATGCCTCTTCAACAGGCACAACCACAGACATAATGTTCAAGGACATAAATTACCAAGTTCACCTGGCTCATTCCCCACCCCATCCCAACTCTAAAAACAATCAATGAAGCCACTCTAGCAAGAATCTTCTAGTCTCACTCCCTGCAGTAAGGCTATCACATGATGCCTCCTACGGATTTAACATCACTGACACCTCTGGACCAGGGCAGATAGTCAGGCTTACAGAATGTGGAAGATACATGATGCTTTCAGGAAAAATGCTATTTAGAAGGAAAATAGGCCACTGGCAAAACAACAAAGATGCAAAGAAATTTTGCAAAGTTCTTCTTTCTTTTAACTGGCGATATTATTTTTATAACTTCAGATATGCCATTTCAAACCCTGGAGCAACTAAGCAAAGTCAGAAGTGACAACAGAATCAACCCCACTCATTCCACATTCAAGGGACAAACTACAACTTTGCAACTGGAGTATATACATTCATGGATGTTTTCTTTAGAAAGAGCTGAAAATCTAGAACAAGGGTTTCATAAACCACCACCACCGCCTAAAGGACAGGCAGGTTTCCCAGTACCAGTGATGCCCATGGAGAACTATCACACAGCCAGACGCACAGTAGGCCTGGTCTCACACCCAACATCTGGCTGGCAATGAGACTCACCTGGATGGTCTGCCTATGCTCTCGGAACACATTCACTCTGATCACTGCTTTATTGAACTCAGGGTTTAGAGACTGAATGATCTCATAATCCAGATGCTCCTGATTGGGAAAAGCCAAACCAACAACAAACTTAGTTTTAAGAAAGTAACCAAGTGTCCCAAGACCACCTGCATTTAAACCCAATACCAAATCAAAAGTTCTGGCCATAGTTTCCAACCTGATACTGCAGGGCATCGAAGCCTTTGAATACAAATTCAAACAGAGTGTGTAGGTTATCAGGACTTGGGGAGGTAACAAAAATATTGGAGTACCTGCAGAACAAAAGAGAGAGGGGGTTATTAACAAATGAAGAAGACTAGAACTCTTTAAAGAAACAATTAAAAACAAGAAACCATTGTTTCTGTCACATGGCTGATAATCAAAGACAACAACATGGAAGCATGAAGGACACTTTGCGGGAGGAAAATAAAAACAGCTCCAGACCAGATTATGTCTTTTCTCTCAAAGCAATGAAACATGTTAATATTAACAAATTGTAAATGTATTTAAGACAGAAAATTGCAGCCAGGTGCTGGTGGCTCATGCAAGGAATCCTAACTAATCAGAAGGCTGAGATCTGGATTAGCAGTTTGAAGCTAGCATAGGCAGGAAAGTCCATGAAACTCTTACCTCCAATTAACCACCAAAAAGCTAAGGAGTGGTAGAGTGATAGCCATGAGTGAAAAAACTCAGGGAAGGGCTGGGAAGGTGGCTCAGTGGTAGAGCGCTTGCCTTGCATGCTTGAGGCCCTGGGTTCGATTTCTCAGCACCACATAAGCAAAAAAGAAAAAAATCCGGAAGTGGCGCTGTGACTCAAGTGGTAGAGCGCTAGCCTTGAGCTGAAGAGCTGAGGGACAGCGCCCAGGCCCAGAGTTCAGGCCCCACAACCGGACCCAAAAAAAAAAAAAAGAAAAAACTCAGGGACAAAACCCAGGCCCTCAGTTCAAGCCTTAGTACCACCACCACCAACAAACACACACACACACAGAGACAGACAGAGACAGAGACAAAGACAAAGACAGGAAATTGCTGAGGCTGGGAATGTGGCTTAGTGGTAAAATGCTTGTCTAGCATGCATGAAGTCCTGGGTTCAATTCATCAGTACCACATAAACAGAAAAAGCCAGAAATGGTGCTGTGGCTCAAGTGGTAGAGTGCTAGCCTTGGGCAAAAGAAGCTTAGGGACAGTGCCCAGGTCCTGAGTTCAAGCCCTAGGATTGGCAAGAAAAGAAAAGAAATTGCTGAGAGACACTATGGGGAGAGCTCCTGGATACTTCCTCCAGTCCAGTGTCCCGACAGGGGAAAATTCACTTGTTACACTGAGTTTTCAAACTGGGAAGCTGGAGAGTTCCTCAGTGCTTTTTTCACTGAGTTCAAAAGGATGCTTGTAGATAAAAGGCTAGGCAGCAGGGAGCACTAGTCAGGGTGTGGTTCAAGTACTAGAGTGCCACCCTTGAGTGAAAACAGTCAAGCAAGAATGCTTAGCATTCAGCATACCAGCACCAAAGGGGGAAAAAAAAAGAGTTAGAAGTCAGCTCTGCTCCAATGCTAGCTGTTAACAGTAGTAAACTTAGGTAAGTCATTGGAACTCCACAAGTCTCAGTTTACCCATCAATAAAATGGCAGAGGAAGCCAGGCGCCAGTGGCTCACGCCTGTAATCCTAGCTACTCAGGAGGCTGAGATCTGAGGATCATGGTTCAAAGCCAGCCCCTGAAGGAAAATCCATGAGACACTTGCCTCCAATAAACCACTAGAAAACCAGAAGTGGCACTGTGGCTCAAGTGGTAGAGAGCTAGGCTTGAGCTCAAGAGCAGAGGGACAGCGCCCAGGCCCAGAGTTCAAGCCCCACAACTGACCAAAAAAAAAAAAGGCAGCAGAGCCACATGGAGAACCAAGGAAGACAATGTATATATAGTAGAATTCAATAAATTGTAAGCCCATTATCATGTCTGCAAAGTGAGAAACATATATTCCAAAGACTGGGAGTTATATAAATCCTCCACCCAGGTCAAAAGAATAGAGAGATGTTACATCAAACTCAAAATCAGGGCTGGGTCATGGTTCAAACAGTTTAGAGTACCTGCCTATCAAATGTGAGTGAAGCCTTAAGTTTCAACCCTACTACTACTCAAAAAAAAAAAATCTCAGTCAACTCTTCAAAAATAAGGCTAGGAGGGAAAAAACTGGGAGAAAACAAGGGAAGAGGTGACACTGTTCAAAAAGAAATCTATTCATTACCTGACTTACGTAATTGCAACCCCTGTTTATCACCTTTACAATAAAAATTTAAAATTAAAAAAAAATACTTCCTACTAATCAAGACCATTTATGTCCACTTGTTCAGTTAGCACATCTGGTCATAAACATTCTCATTTGAGAATTTTACAATACCTTTCCCTCGTTTCTTTACTTTTGTGTTTATTAGACTTAAACAATGACTATAAAGGCCCTGTGCCCTTAAACAATGACTGCAAAGGCCCTAAGCAGAGACATAGGTTTATGCACTGTGTACCTGAGTGGTCCAGGGGTACAAAGCAGTGGTTCTGTTGCTAGGCAGAACCCAAGATCTAGAAAAACTCAGTGAAGTAGCACAGATAAGGAACCAAAGACAAGAGTTCTGCCCCTGTCCTGATTCAAGTCCTACACACTACCCACTACCCCTCAGAGCCCAGAGCTCCTGAAGATGGGAAGTAGTCCCTCTTACCCAAATGCCACTGCCCCAGCAATAGCCAATCCCAGGGCTGCAGACTTTCCCCGTCCTCGGGCAGCGGTGAGAGCAACAGTACTCCTTAAGGTCTTCTCCGAGATTCCCTCAATGAATTTTAAGACAGCTTTCGCCTGTACAGAGATGAATATATTATGTGAGAGCTGCAAAAGAACCCTTTCAGCTCTTTATTACCATTCCTGTGGAGGTTAGGACTAATCAGAGGACCAATCAGCATTGCTAAGCACCTACACCTCTGATTCCCTCGGTCACCTGTGTCAAGGCCATAACTACCAAGGAAATACTCTAGGCTCTCAAGTTCACCCCTGTACTGCAGACCTCTCTCCACATAACACTCTCAATATGTGCAGCTTCAAATGCACAACACAGATCTTAAACTTCAAACTGATGCCTAATGTTTCCCCAAATCTCTGCTTCCAATATTCCCCACCTGTCCCCACTGGACAGTTAGCATGTCCAGTTGTCTATACCAAACATCAACTCAGTTTTCTCACACATCAGCATCTGACCCATCAACAAATGCAATTGGTGATTATCTTCAAAGCATAGTGTCTACCATTTACTATAATCCTCTACCGCTCTGCTCAGTCCTCCTTCCCTGCCCTCTCTGTGACAGCAGCCACCGAATGCATCTTTCCGCCTCAACCAGCATCTACCACAGGCAGATGCAGCTCATCAGCCAGCGGATTCTTTTGTTAACAGCCTAGGGATGCTCTCTAAAACAGTGCTGAGAAGAAACTATACCATAAAACCTTCCACTGGCCTACCTGTCTCACTAATAAGTGCACTTCCAGTGGCCTGTGAGGCCCCCCCATCACCTTCCTCCTCTCCTTCAAATAGCATCACCCAGTCAGCCTCCTTGCTGGTTCTAGAGCACCTGAGTTGCACCGCTGCCCCACACTTGAGCACTTACTTACCAATCCTCTCTGCATCAGAACTTCCTTCAAAACCTTGCTCAAAAATAGCCTGACCACTATGTCTAGGACTGTAGCATCCATCCTCATTCTAGCACACCCAATCCCTCTTGGCCAATCTTCTCTTCTTCCACTGTGCTTTGCTAGTTTCCCTCACATACTCTGTCTCCTATAGAAAGCCAGCTCCATGAAGCAGGTGCCCCTTGTTTACAGCCAATCCTAGTGCCTAAAGGATTGTCAGGTGCATACATGCCAGCGGCACTGACAGAGAAGCCACACTACTGCTCAAGACCAAACACAGATGCCTAGCTGAGATCTAAACTGGGCACAGGCCTCTTAAGACTGGGAAGACTACGTACTTATCACCTGCTGAAGCAGCAACACTAAGATGTTGAAACTACACAGGCCCAGTGGATAAACTGGATGACAGGAGGGCAAAAAACTACAGGAAGCCAGGTAATACTTGTCTTAATTTGGCCTTTGTTGAACCCTGTATTTTTTACTCTTGTTTCACTTTAATAAAGTTACAAATGCTGAATAAATTTAACTGAACTAAATATGCATTCTAAAATAATTTTCTAAAGTCAAAAGGGCAAAATCTAATTAGTAAGTGAGCAGACCTAAGCAGACTAGTTTACCAAAAAGATAAATAAACAAAAACAGAGCTGGGTGCCAGTGGTTCACTCCTATAACCATAGCTACACAGGAGGCTGAGAGCTCAGGACTGAGGTTTGAAGCCAGCCTGAGCATACAAATCAGAGATGCTTATCTCCAAGTAAGGAGCAAAATGCCAGTAGAGTTGTGGCTCAAGTGATAAAGCACCAGCTTTGAGTAGAAAAGCTAAGAAACAGGTACCTAGGCCCTGAGTTCAAGCCCCAGTATTCTCACAAAAGAAACATGATAACCAATAACCAGATGAAGAAGGTACTTTTCTCTCACAACTATACACTAGTTACAATAAACACGGTCCATATCTGATTAGCAAAGACTTACAGATGCAATTGTGCTCCTTACACTATCAGTAGCTTTATCAATACCCATTCTAATGTACTTGATTTCTGATCCAGCAATTCCTTTTTCTGAAACTTACCCCACAGATGTATCTCTGAGGACTCTCTAATAATATAGATAGACAGACAGACAGACAGACAGATAGATAGATAAGTAGATAGATAGACAGACAGAGACATAGATATACTTGGAAAGAGTCCTGCTGTGTAGTCTCAGGTTGATCTCAAGCTCTGGACCCTCCTGCCTTAGCTGAGTGCTGGGAGATGTGTGCCTCTACATCCTCTATACACTACTGTTTATAGTAGCAGAGCTACACTCAATCCATCTCAACTCAACTTGTCTAGCAGGGAGTCCCTTAAGCCTTGTATAGTGAATGAAATACCCATTTATAGGTTCAAGATCCAGAAGGTAACATAGTAACTTCGAGAGGAGCTGACTGGGGGAAATAGGCTACCAAGTAGAAACACCATGGTTTACTTTTTTTTTAAAGTATGTATCCCTTTGACTTCACTAATTTTCATGGCTACTGTTTTCCTATCTTGGAAACAGGACTTTGCTATGTAGCCTAGCTATTCCTCTTGCCTCATCTTTTGAGTTCTGGGATTACAGAAAGGTTTGGGTTTTTTCTAACATTATAACTAGTATTGTAACTTCTCCCCCTCATGCCTACTCCCCTATACTGTCTTACACCTTCTTTCACTATGACAGAGAAGTTACTAAGAATGATTCAAGAAAGCCTAGAAGCTGTAGCCTAGGCTGCATAGAGAGCTAAGCTATGTAGCTAGAGATTGTTTACAAAATGAAAAGGGAAGCTACTTGTCGGAAGTCAGTCCTGAATGGGGTGACACTGTAACTGTCTTTCATTTGAGAGCAGATCCACTGCTAAGAGGCCTGGGCTGCTCATGTAACTCAGGCTGGACAGAAATCCTCCACACATGCTGTCCATCAGTAACCACCAAGGCCCAGAAGTTACTGGAAAAGCTGGAAAAGTTTACCAGCTAACCACCTTGGCGAGGACATAAATGCATCTGGGTAGGTCCTGCCCCACCTGCTGTTCACCAGCACAGCTTCAGGTTCATGCTAGAATGGGGACAAATACAAAGGGCCTGAAGCTCTCCTCTCTCGAGAAGTCAGAAGGAAAAACAAAAACTTAAGTGAAATTAGAAAACAAAAATATCACCCTATTGTAAAAAAGGCACTGAGAGAGATTCTTTGAATATAATCTTTCAATCTCTGATGCCCATTGCTCCCTAATCTGCCTTCCTTTGTGAACCCAGACAGAGATCAGCCCTGGTTTTGCAAAGCTTGCTTGCATGGAAGAGACAGGGTCCTTCCAGGAAGGGGCCGACTTGTCCTTCTTGACTCCTGTTGCTCCCTGTATGCTAGGTCTTATCCATGTATTGGGTGGGTAAGCTCTGAACCTATACAAACCTGGTCTAGGGTCTTACAGCAGTCTACCAAGACACCCACGGGCTGCGTGTCCTGTAAGCTCTCTGTCAACTCCCGCAGCTCCAGAGCAGAAGGGCTGAGATTCTCATCCTACCAGAGAGAAGAGAGAGCAGGAATAACATGGTCATAGGAAGTCACCTTGGAAGTCATCCCCCTCCTTCCCTACTTCCCTCTTGCACTCACCGGAGCCTGTGGAGGCAGGGCCTCAATGCTGGCCATGTGGGAGGAGATGGGCAGAATGTTGAGCTGATCATCAATGACCAGACACTTCTTACAAGATGCCAGAGACAGAATAAACCTGAGGAAGAAAACCACTGTAGAAAAATGCTAGAGAGGGCTGGGAAGGTGGCTCAGTGGCAGAGCGCTTGCCTTGCATGCATGAGGCCCTGGGTTCGATTCCCCAGCACCACATAAGCAAAAAGAAAAAAGCCAGAAATGGCGCTGTGGCTCAAGTGGTAGAGTGCTAGCCTTGAGCTCAAGAGCTGAGGGACAGCGCCCAGGCCCAGAGTTCAGGCCCCACGACGCTGGAGAGGCAGGCAATGTACACAGGCATATACAAGAGTGTTTTCCCCCCCAGGAAATTCATTTGATCCCATATATCCAAGAAAGCCAGAACCCAGCTGAAGCACAGTGAGATGATTCCAAGCCCCATCGGCAAGTCATCTAAACACATCTCTATGGCAATCAAGAAAACCACAGATCCCCACAATCTGTGTGCACAGCCACCATGACTCCTGGGTGGTTTGGCCCTTCACGCTTGTTCCAAGCCTCTCAGCAAAAAAGGTGGTGGCAACTCCAAACCAAAGCCAACATGGTCACCAGTCACAGAGAGAAACAAACACATACCAATGTGGTTTCTGTCACAAAGCCCCTTGAAAAGATACAACTCATTTCTTGACTGAAGAAAAATAGTGGCTATACAATTCAAACATCTTTAGGCTGCATGAAAGCCTCACCTCCTCTCCTCTTCCACAGGCCTGTGCTCTGGTGCATGGCTCATAGCTGCTCCTCCCACCTCCTGGTCTACTGATCCACAGCATCCAGGTTGCAAAAATCAAACAGGATTCCTAACCCTTAGCACTGCTGGCATTCTGGACAATTCCTTATTGTGGACCCTGTGCTTGGCACTGAGGGTTTTCCTGGGAAATGCCTGGCTTCTGTGCATCTGTCTCTATTTGAAGTCATGGCTTCAGAATGTCCCCAATGTTGCCAAATGTCCCTGGGGTAAAACGGCTCCAGGTGAAAAACACTGATCTAAGCCAATGTTTTGAGGTGTTGCATAGGCTAACTAGTAGGCTCTATCTGGAGAAATAATGTGAGACAATCAAACAGGTTCCAGATGCTGCCAAGACTTTTTAGAGGCCACAAGAGGCTAAAGTGACTCTTCCTAAAGGAAAAACTGTGCTAGCATTTCCCAGACATATGCAGCCAGGAAACCCTTTTGTCCTGAGATCCCTCTTAAGGACTAGTGTTCTCAACAGCCAAGTTGTACAATCAACCTAGATGCCCATCAACAATGACTGGGGTAAAGAAAACGTGATACACATACACAATAGAGTTTTAGCCAATCATAACTTACATCATTTACAGGAAAATGAATGGAACCAGAGATCATTATGTTAAAAGAAGTCCAACTCAGATATGCAAATATCAACTCACATAAAAAGTAGAGGGGAGTTTTACAGTTTGAAGCCAGTCTGGGTTTAAAAAAAAAAAAGAAGTTTGGGTCTGGGAAGGTGGCTCAGTGGTAGAGTGCTTGCCTTGCATGCATGAGGCCCTGGGTTCGATTCCTCAGCACCACATAAGCAGAAAAAGCCAGAAGTGGTCCTATGGCTCAAGTGGTAGAGTGCTAGCCTTGAGCTGAAGAGCTGAGGGGCAGCGCCCAGGCCCAGAGTTCAGGCCCCACAACCGACAAAAACAAAACAAAAAAGAAGTTAGCAAAAATAAGCCAGTGTCTATAATCCTAACCACTTAGGAGACTGAGATCTGAGGATCACAGTTCAAAGCCAACCTGGGCAGGAAAGGAAGTCTGTGAGACTCTTATCTCCAATTAACCACCAGAAAACCAGAAATGGAGCTATGGCTCAAAGTGGTAGAACACTAACCTTGAGCAAAAGAGTTCAAGGACAGCACCCAGGCCCCACAACTGAATCCCCCACCCTGACCCATGCCAAAAGCCAGGAATAGTCATCCACACCTGTGTCATCCTAGCTACCAAAGACTAAAGTCCTGTGAATGCATTTGGGAAAACTGATTGAGGTAAAATCCCTCCACTGCTGAATCAAAGCTTTGCAAAAGAGAAAACAGGACTTTGTTAAGTCCATCATGCTACTCTGAGCCACAGTAAAACAATCCAGGTGTCCTGGCCCAACTTCCCACCCCTTTTCATTTCTGAACTCACAGGTGTGGCCACTGTCAAGATCTCTCTGTACTGGAGTCCTGCCCCAGCTCCCTGGACACAGAGGCAAAATTTTCAGTTGGATCCAAACTAAAACTATTTCTCCTACTCTGGCTTCCCCAAAACTACAGGAACTGAGAATGTCCTATGACAGACATACCTTTCATTGAACCTTCCCACCACATCCTGATGGGCCTCCGTCCTATACCTAGAATGCACATCCTAGAAAATCAAGAGAAATAATGTGAGGCCTCTGGCCAAGGGATATCATCAGACAAAACCCATCACCCGATCTGCAGTGCTGAACTGGATTAAATACTAAACATGTTTCGTTGACACTGTCCCCATTTCACCCACATCAGTGAAATGCACATGCCAGCTAGTACACCAGACTTCCTGGCTCTTCACTGGTGAATATTCTCACAGAGAAAGACAAATGAATGAATACACATTTGGGCAAGAGCTCCAAGTAAAACAGAAGTTAGTGAGGAAGGGCCTCTCTGAGTTTATGCTTGCTCAAAGAGAAAGAATAAAACAAACTGATAAGGGCAAAAAGTCACTCAGTCATCCATAAATGTCTAATGAGGGCTTACTCCATGCCAGGCTCTCTTCTAGGATCTAGGAACACACCAGCAAGGAAGACTGAGTCTCTGTTCCCAAGAAGTTTAGAGACTAGTACAGGACAGATAGAAATCAAGCAAACAAGTAAGCAGGTGCTATCTTTGTGGGGGTTTTGTTATTTGTTAGTTTTTTGCACTGGTACTACGGTTTGAACTCAGGGTCTAGGCACTATTCCTTAGCTTTTTTGCTCAAGGTTAGTGCTCTACCACTTGAGCTACAGCTCTACTTCCTGCCAGATGCTTTGAAGAAAATATAAACTGGGTTAAGGAGTAGGAGGTTGAGCTACAATCTAAACCGATTGTGAAGAAAGATCACAATGCTAAGGGATATTAGATATTGAATGCAATAAGGATGCAAGTTGTGCAGTTATGAGTGTGAAACATTCCAGAGAGAAAGCAAGTGCAAAGGCCTTGGGGCATGAATATGCTGAGCATTCTGAAGTGGTAAGTCATAGTGGAAGTGAGAGTGATAGGAAGCACTTCAGAGAGAGATGAGAGAGGGAGAAAGAGAATAAACTATAGCAAAACCAGATCAATTTGAACCACCTAGGATTAAGTACAAAAACTAGACCTTACCATTGTCATTGTGTACAACTGCTTGAGTGAGTTCATGGTCCGTAGGAGTATAACAACCAGCCCACTACCTTCTACTGTTTCTACTGTCCTGGCCAGCAAGTTTGGAGTTAAGGCTTCAAAATCCTAGGAGAAAGACCTTATAAGGAATTTGATACTATGCAAATGGCACCCCTAGAGACACTTAATCAAGGTGATCATGGAAAGACTTCAAAGTTCAAATCCAAGACCATCCCTCCTACCCCTCACTAAGAAACATATAAACATAATCATATACCTCACTTAGGAGCACCACAGAAGAGAGCTCTGCCCCAGGATATAAGGAGACCCTAATGATAAAAACATTTCTAACAATCTCTATTAAACACTATTTTAAAGCAAGTCTTTTAAACTTCATTAACACTCAAATTGCAAAAAACACCTTACATTCATTTTCTCTTATTAGATTTAAGCAGTGAGACAAAGCTCAACTGCACCACATGGGGGAGCCATCACATAAAGGAGCCATCACTCCAGCAAGCAGTCAAGGCTGGAAGCAGAACACACGAGTAATCAAAAGGATCTCAAAGGCTGAGACTGGGACAAAATGCTTCTCCGGCCTCCAGTGTAGGATGTAAAACACAGTGCACACACAATCCACTGTTACTGAGTTGCCTTCTCCTTTCTTAATTTATATTTTGTGTAATGTTTCATAATTTACAAAATCTTGATGGTAGGTGAATAAATATATACAAAAATATGTAAATTTATAAACTCCATCTTTTGGGTATGGAAGGAGTCACAGGTTTTAAAAACCCAATGATTAAAACAAAGACTATCAAAAGTGAAAATAAAGAAAATGGACAAAACTCGTCAATTAAGTTGCCTGGCAGAATACATATCAGTGGAGAAATTCACTAGGCTATACTTAGGAGAAAGTAGGGGGACTTTAAGGGCCAAAACGGGGTGGTAGACTTGTCTCCTCAGGTGCTCAGGAGAAGATGCAAGTGGATGCCCAAGTCTGCTGAGCTCAGATGGTTGAACAGCCACACTGTTCATGGGTGAAGGGTCTTCAAGAGGTGCACCAGCCAGGGTCAGTCCACACTCCCAGTGATGGTTCCACCGCTCTAGTTGCCCAGAACTACGTGTGACAGCACATCTCTGTCAGTTCTGGTGCTACAGCATTATTTATTTTATTGACTTTTTTTTTGGTTGGTCATGGGGCTTAAACTCTGGGCCTGGGGTGTTGTCCCTGAGCTCTTCAGCTCAAGGTAAGCGCTCTACCACTTGAGCCACAGCACCACTTCCCGTTTTCTGGCGGTTTATTGGAGATAAGAGTCTCAGACTTTCTGCCTAGGCTGGTTTTGAACAGAGATCCTGAGATCACAGCCTCCTGAGTAGCTAGGATTACAGGCATGAGCCACCAGTACCCAGCTTACGGTTCTTTTTTTTTTTTTTTTAACTAAAGGCAAGTGATCCAGTTTCCTCTGAAAGAGGCTGAGGCTTCCATTAATAATGGTTGGTGGTAGGGTGTACATGTCTGGGGCAAAAGGGAGGTTACATGTGAATTTTCTCTCCTTACTGTACCTGTCCTCACCTGCAGGACACACATGCCGAAGGTATTGCCCAGGATCTTGTGGGTCTCATTGTAGTAGCAGTAGCGAATGTTCGTGGCCGCTACAAAGAGTTCAAAGGGGTCATCTTGCTTTATGTTCAAGGTCCCATTCTTTATTTTCTTCTGCAGCTGTCGCATTCTTTTCTTCCGGTGACTACAACAGCCCAACCCATGAGAGCCGGTTACCAGCAGTGAGAGAGGTAGGAAAGGGAACAAGCTCACAATTATCCTCTCAGACCTTCAGAGCTAGAGCTAGTCAGTAGTTTGGAGCAGTAGGGGAGTGGTGGAGTTACCTTTCACTTTAAAGGGGAAGGAAAGTGAAAAGCATTGGAAGAGAGTACTTAACATGGGCTGTGGGGAGAGATGCTGTTAAGTCTGTGTGTGAATTACTCTGCTATTTTATTCTGTAATCTTGACCAGGTTTTTCATTTTAAAAGACAGGTAATGGGAGCATGACCAAAGTCAAAGCCTGAAACCAAACAATGGAGGCCTTAGTCAAGTCAATGCTTCAACTACACTATGCTGTTACCCCGAGAGCCTAGGAAAAGATAGAAGAACTGACAGCTCTCTACATTCATGTTTCCTAGATGAATTTACCTATTTCCTTACCCTGGAACCTGTCCTCAAAGGCAGCTCTTACTTCCTCTGAGACACCCATATGCCACTTACCTGTCCTTTGTGGAGAGAATGATATCTACAAAGGTTGCTTATAGCTGATCAGAATTTTACCACAGCTCTCTAACTGGCTTCCTCTGAACAAGGCAACTGAGTAAAGGAACCTCCACTCTTCCTTCTAACTTAAGCCTTAAGTCCATGACTTACAAGGAGGACTGACAGGTATGAGTAGGAAAGGAACAAGAGGCACAGTATAGATTTTTAAGAGTAAAGCTAAATGAGGTTAAGTTTGAAAGGCAGATCTGCCCAGGAAAGTGTGGGCACATTTACCAAAGGAAAATACTGAGTCAGAAGCCATCAAAACAAAATTCTAAAACACATGTCAGGCCTTCTCAATCTGTACTAAAAATGCTTTGGACTAAGTGTACAGCTCAGAGGTATAGCACATGCTTGGCAAGTACACAGTCCCAGATTCAATCCTTGGTACTGGGAAATATAAACTTAAAATGTTTACATGCTAATTAGAAAAGAGTATATACAACAAACAATCAGTTGGTTGTTTTGTGTTGGTCATGGAGCTTGAACCCAGGGCCTGGACACTGTCCCTGAACTTTTTCAGGTTTTCTGGTGGTTAATTGGAGATAAGAGTCTCCCGGACTTTCCTGCCCAGGCTGGCTTTGAACCATAATCCGCTCAGATTCAGCTTCCTGAGTACTAGGTTAAGGCCAGATTATTCAGAATCTGGTTCCTTTTAGGCACAATTTTCTTTTCAGCATGAAAGTCCTCATGCTTTGGTAGAACCAAGTATTCTGCCACTTTAGCTATGCCTGCAATCCTTTTGTGCAGGTCATTTTGGCTTTTTATTTTTCTTTTGTTCATATGTTTGTGTGTGCTGATACTGAGGCTTAAACTCAGGGCTTTGCATTCCTGCTTGGCTTTTTCACTTAAGGTTAACACTCTAACACTTGAGACAAGAATCCACTTCCGGCTTTTTGTGATGAAGATAAGAGTCCCATGAACTTTCCTGCTTGAGCTGGTCTCAAACTGTGAGCCTCAAATCTCAGTCTCCTTACCAGCTAAGATTACACCAGGGGCCATCAGTGCCCAGCTTGCACAGGTTATCTTCAAGGTTGGGTCTCATTTTATGCTCGGGATCAGCCTGTGTTGAGAGAGTCTCCTATATGTGCTCCTGTATGTTGTGGGGATGATAGATGTGTGTGTATCCTCCACTGTGCTTCCCTATAGCTAGAATAACAGGCACGAGCTACTGTGCCCATCTACTGGTTGAAATGGGAGTCTCGCAAATCATGACCATCCAATTTCTGCTTCCCAAACAGCTTGGATTAAACATGTGAGCCACTGTGCCCAACTCAAATTTCGTTAATTAAAATAATTCCGACCCAGGTGAAATCTGAGGATCATGGTTTGAAGTAAGCCCAGGCAGGAAAGTCCTTGAGATGCTTATCTCCAATTAACTAGCAAAAATCCAGATGTAGAAGTGTGGCACAAGTAGCAGAAGGCAAGCAAGAGACAGGGACCTGAGTTCAAGTCCTAGTACCAGCATAAAACAAAAGAAAAAAATAGAATTAAAAAATAAATTATAGAGCCTGTGAGCAAAGGAAATCTGCCAGATACCATAACTAACACCTCCCAACTACTTGGAATTTAACAATAAAACAAGAAACTGTAAGTTAGATGGAACACTCATGGGCCATGCTTACCTGCTAAATCCCAGTTCTTTCTTGTAACACCATAGCACTGACGGCCTGGCCTTCACAGTTGCTTTAGACAACATGTGATGGAGAATCACCACCTGCCAAAGAAAAGTATCACAGACACACAGGGCCAAAAAAATCTCTAATGACTGCCAGACCCCAAGACCTCATTTGACAGATGTAGAAACTAAGATGCACTCTGGGCTTCAAATAATATTTGCTTAGCCAGGCACTGGGAGCTCACACCTATAATCCTAGCTATTCAGGAGGCTGAGGTCTAAGATTACAGTTCAAAACCAGCCCTGGCATGAAAATCCATGAGACTCTGATCTCCAACTAACCACCAAAAAGCCAGAAGCAGAGCTGTGACACAAGTGGTAGAACACCAGCCTTGAGTGAAAAAGCTAACAAACAATGCCCAAGCCTTGAACAAGCCCTAGTATTGGCACAAAATGAATAAACAAATAGTATTAGCTTGACTTCTATTAAATCTAAACACAGGGAATTTTCAACATTCAAGAAATGAAGAAAGACTCCCATAAGGCAACTAACTAGCCCAAGGGATCTTAAAGTCATTTTATGCTGAACTCCCCCAACACAGACACAGTGGTTTGAGATAACATGCTGACTTTCGGGACAGGCACAAAATAATTCAGGAAATATTTATGGGGTCTTACCTGATCTTTTCCTCGATCCCCAACTACAACAAAGAGAGATCTTTGCCGCTCAGCTACCCCATTCTCAATAAGAATCCGGATCCGGTTATCCACCTTCTTCCGATGCATGGTGAAAATCACTAAAAAAAAAAGAAAAGAAAGGGGGCTAGGAATATGGTTTAGTAGTAGAGTGCATGCCTAGCATGCATGAAGCCCTGAGTTTGGTTCCTGAGTATAACATAAACAGAAGTAGTGCTGTGGCTCTCAAATGGTAGAGTGCTAGCCTTGAGCAAAAGAAGCTCAGGGACAGTGCCTAGGCCCTAAATTCAGGCCCCAGGACTAGCAAAAAGAAAAAAAAGAAAAGAAAGAAAGAGAGAGGGAAAGAGAGAGAAAGGAAAAGGAAAGAAAGGAAGAGAAAGAAAGAAAAAAAGAGAGAAAGAAAGAAAAAAAAGAGAGAGAAAGAAAAGAAAGAGAGAAAGAAAAGAAAGGAAGGTATCTGGACCAAGCACTGATTCTGGGGAAGTAGTACTAGGTAGCTGCCTCTTACTGGACAGGAAATGTGCTAGGCACATTTATAACTATTATTTTTGCCCTCACACAGCTTCATAAGGAAAACATCAGCCCCTTTGTTTTCAGTGGACCAGGGTTTCAACCCAGGGCCTCAGCTTGTTAGGTGCCCTACCACATAAATGTGCCCCAGTCCTTTTGGTTGAGCTATGTTTATGCCAGGCCAGCCCAGATCTCCATCTTCCTATTCATGCTTTCAGCATACTTGGCATGAGACACATGAGCCACTGCACCAAGCTTACTGATTGAGATGGAGGTCTTCTGAACTGTTTGCCTGGACTGGTTTCAAACCATGACCCTCCCAATCTCTGTCTGCCAAATAGCTGGATTGCAGGTATGAACAACTGAACCCAGCAACATCAGCTAGTTTTGAAATCAGGTAACAGGTTTAGATGGGAACTTGGCAAAGAAGTACATCTGTCAAGGAGTTTAAGAAAAATTAGACTGAAAAGTTTAAAAAGGTACAACAGCCCAGGTACGGGGGTTCATGCCTTTAATCCTAGCTACTTATGAGGCTGAAATCCTGAAGAGCACAGTTCTAACTAGCTAGGGCAGAAAATTCCATCCACAAAGTAAGCAGCAAAAAGCTAGGCTATAAGTGTGGCTCACATGGTAGAGCACCAGCCAGGCAAGCCAAGCCCTGATTTCAAATCTCTTACTGCCAAAAAAAGAAAGAAAATATATAATATATACCTATTTCTAGAGCATTTTCCCAAACTACCAATATGGATCTAAAAAGGTGTGGGAGCACAGTTAAGTAGTAGAGTGTTTGCCTAGCATACAAAGGCTCTGGATTCCATCACAATACAACTACAAAAGAAAAAAAAGAGCTATGAATATAATTGCTTATGGGAGGCTAGCATAGCAAGACAGACACCAGAACAAGATATATTTGCTTGTGAATGGTAATTAATTCTTTATCATTTTGTGGGGAAAGCATGGAACTAAGTTCTGAAATCAGGGCCTTGCACTCACTAAAAACTGCCTACCACTTGAGTCATGCCTCCCAGCTCTTTTTTACTTATTTTTTAGATAGGATCATACAGGTTGTCCAGGCTAGACTCTGATCATCATCCTCCTACCTACACTTCCCAAACTGCTGAAATTACAGGAATATACCACCATGCATATGTTGAGATGGGGTCTCCCTAACTTTTTGCCTAGACTCTCCTTGGATCCTAAGCCTCCTGATTCTGTCTCCTGAGTAGCTGAAATTACAACCAGTGGATCATTTGCCTTTTAGTTTTATTTGAAAGTCCTATCATACTAATACAATCTGAGGGAAAAAAATTACGTTACTTCTATGATGAAGCATTTCCTAGAGTGACAGGAAACCATACGGAAGCCTTTGTGCAAAGAGACCTCTAAAATTATTATATGAATTTGAAATGTAGCCCAGTGGTAGCCCAGCATGTAAAAGGCCCTGTGTTCAATCTCCAGTACTGTCTTCCCCCACCAAAAGTTTGCTGCAATTATACACACACACAAAAAAAAAACAACAACAAAAATACCCATGATATTATGTTGTAAAAATAACCAGGTATGCTACTTAGAAACTCTAGCCCTCTGCATTCTGAAGTTCATTATCTGAACCTTAATTAAAACCTCCCAATCCTAGCATGGATACTGTATTAGTACATTTTACTATAAAGACTTATCACAATCAACACCTCCCTGTTTATCAGGGGCAAGTAGTATGAAGAATTCAAATATCCTAAAGCAGAAAAGTGACAGAGACAGGATTCACACTTAAATTTAAGTGACTCCAAAGCTTGAGTTTCTTCCCCTTTGCTAAATACCTCAGCTTGTAGGTCTATGTGGCTAGACACATAAAGAACCCACAAAAATCAAACACCACCATGTAACTTGAGAGGAGGGTAAAATGGGGAGCCAGAACTATGGAAGGATGAAATTAATCAAGATGAATTGCACTCATAATCTGACTTGTGGAAATGAAAGCCCTTTAAACAACAACTTAAAAGGAATAAATTTAAAAAAATAAGTATCAGTTACTATTTGGGACTTTCTGTTGTACTTAGTGTTAGGAGTCTTACAAGAAATACCAAACAACCACCTTCATTTCAAGCCTTCATTCTTCCTGAAGAAGGAATTGAAGATGAAGAGCTACAAATGGGTAAAAATTAAATGTAAAAATAATAGCTACAGTAAGGGATCTGATGGTCTGAGATGGATGTGAACTTGAGAGACAGATTAAAGGAGGTGAAAGGAAATATGCTCTTTTTCTGTGTATATGTGTCAGTACAGGAGGCTGAACTCAGGGCCTGGGTGCTGTCCTTGAGCTTCTTTGGCTCAAGGATAATGCTTAACTACTTGAGCCACAGCTCCACTTCGAGCTAAAGTGCTTAATTGGAGATGAGTCTCTCAGATTTGTCTTCCTGGGCTGGCTTCGAACCGCAACCCCTCAGATCTCAGCCTCCTGAATAGCAAGGATTATTGGCGTGAGCCACGGGCGCCCGTCTAACACGCTTGTTTTTAATCCAATCATGTGTCTATGTTCGCAGAGCACGTGCGTGCCAGGCATCGTTGGGTGTGCTGTCAAACTAAATAAGCTCCAGTAGTTACTGGAATACGCAGCACAAGGGAGTACGTGAAGTGTCCGCGAAGGGCGGGGGCAGTTGAGTCCGGAACGGTCTGCGGGCTGGAAGCTCAGTGTCGCAGCGGGGCACTGCGGGCGAGCCCCGCGCAAGGCCCCTGCTGTCACCACTCGCGGCCCACCTCCGCTCAGGTCGAGGGCCCGCAGGGCAGGGGCCCGGCCGCCCGGCCCGCACCGCGTCGCCGGCTTAACGCAGCGCCCGGAACGCACGTCCCGAGCAGCAGCGAGCGGAAGGAGGTTCGGCTACGAGGAACAGGCGAGGGGGGAGGCCAGCGGCCCGGGCCGGCCTGCTCCGGTCCCGGGGGGAAGCCGACGCCCACCTCCGCACGCGTCCCCAGCCCTCCCGCCACCCGTACCTGCTGCCCGGGCCGGTGGGCTTCAGCTGGCGGCTAGACGGAAGCACGTGGACTACCGCCTTCCAGAGCTGGAGGGCGCCGCGGACTGCCCGAGCGAATGCCTGACTCCTAGTTGTCGGAGGCCGCCTCGCTCCCGGGGTTGAGCGGCTTCCGCCCCGGCGCTGATAGGCAACGGACACGCACGCGCACTAAGAGCTCGGCGAGCACGCCGTGGGACCTTCCAGGGCGCTGTCCCTGTGTGATGACGTCAGCGACGGAAGCCGAATGGCCTAGACGGGCGTCTACCGCAGCTGCGCGTATCCCCGCGGGCTTTTGGCGGTGCCACGTGGCCTCCCAAGTCATTGTTTCCTGGGCAAGTGTGTCAGCCTCAGTACCTCAGTAACCACCACAGTTCTAAGGCTAGCAGCAGACAGCCCCAACAGGCCAGCGCAAGCACGTCTGGGCTTTCACTGCTGGGTGGAGTAGGAGAAGACTGCTTTTTTGACCCTTTTAATGTGAGCGTATTGACTTATTCATCGCGCATGACTCTCCAGCCACAGACCTAACAGGACTCCGGTAGCCGTTCCACACACTAATTGTGTGATTGTGCTCATTTGCAAGTCCCTCTTAGGATGTTATCTGAGTGCTGAAGTTCGTCCCAGTTACCAATCCTCTGCCCAAAGGAAACCACTACCGGTTTATTTTCCTGCTGGGGAGGGTGGATCACCTTCCAGAAGCACATCCAACTACTTGAGGTACTTCTTGAGTACCACAAAATTAAATGTTCTGAACAAAATACGTTTCTTACCTTTGAAATTACTTGTCCATATAGATAAACCAGTTCAGTACTCACCATTTGTTTATTCTTTTAGCAAAATGTCAATATGCTACACACTATTCCGTTCAGGAAGGCTAGACATTAACATGGTCTTGTCCCTCAAGAGATTTTTGAAGCTCAAAACTCTATGCTATTAAAAATAAGGTACCCGAGTACTATTTCAGAGATGGGCAGGAAAATCCTCTGAATTAGCCAACACTGGATGGAACACAAGGCTAAATGTACAATAAACCTTGAAGAGTATTTGAGTGATAACGAGCAGATTGTAGACTGTTATGCAATGTCAACCACAGAATTTTAGTTGTGACAGAAAACTGGAGGTTGGGCAACAAATAAATGACAAATTCCAATGTGCCCTCTACTGAATCTGACTACTACTTAAAATATGCTCTGGGACACGCGAGTGCAACTATTAGTTACTGTTTTAGAATGGTGATAGTGGTGGTCACAAGTGTCAGAATAGCTCAGGAATTACATAGTTCTAAAAGAAATCAAATATAGTGGTAATAAATCTACTTCCCTGGGCAATGAGATGATGGTTCCAAACAAGGTAATTAAGGTCAAGTTTCAGCATTTGAGACAGTCAAAACCTACATGTTTAGTTGTTTGAAATTTTGTGTTTTGGGGCTTAAAACACGGAGAAACTATAATACTGATCTTATTTTAAATCAAGGGATTGGATAATTTGGGGAAAATTATGAGTACAGATCCAGCCAGAAAAGCATGCTTCCAGGAACCAGGACAGGATAATGAACAGGCCAACGAGATTAAAAAAAAAAAAAAATCTGTAGAATCCATCATTACCATCCCACATTTTAATTGGCAACTTTCACAAACAGGAAGCTACTTTAATAAAATACCTTTGCTTTAAACACTTGCAGAAAGTATCTTTTTATGCCAGCCCTTAGTCTTGATCTAAAGGCCCTGGGCCCTATCCCTGAGACTTAACAGTCTACCTACCACCTGAGCCAAAGCTTTTTAGTAGTTAATTGGAGATGAGTCGTCCCTACCTGGGCTGGCTTGGACCCACAATCCTCAGATCTCAGCCTCCTAAGTAGCTAGGATTACAGGCTTGGGCCACCAGAACCCAGCCATTGTTTTGTAAAATACCAATTTTACTAAGTGACCCACTAACCCCATCTCCATGTTCATACAGCTTAAAAACTGTTTCCAAAACTGAACATGAAATTTAACTATGAAATTGTTCATATTGCCTCCTATCCCTTTCTCAAGCCTCTTAACCACTAATATTCTTTGCACTTCAACCAGCCTTTAGTCAGTAGAGGTTGGCTCAAAATAAACTTTCCTCCAAGTTATTCATGTAGGTTACACTTCAACTAGTCTTTCCTGACATTAATAGGATATAGTCTTGTATCATCAACCATGTGCCTTCACTGCCATTTACTACTTTGGGGTCATCACACTGACTACAAACAGCTCAACTGAAGCAGAAACCATGGTGGTTTCTCATCATGGAATGGCCAGCATTTCACAAGATAGTTATGTTGAATGAAGCCTTAGCTCAAGTAGTCAAGTCTAGTTGAAATGCAGCATTTACAGAAAGCTAATACAAATAAGAATATCCTTAATGCCAAGGGCAGTTGGCTCATGCGTGTAATCACAGAAACTCAGGAAGCTGAAATGTGAGGATAAAAGTTGGAAGCTAGCCCAGGAAGCAAAGTCTGTGAGACTCCAATAAACTTCTCAAAGGCCAGACGTGGGCTGTGGTTCAAGTGGTAGAGAAAAAAAAAATCTCAGGAAGTGCCCAGGCTGAGTGTAAGCCCCAGAACTGGGGCAAAAAAAAAAAAAAAAGGAAAATGCATACTAAATAATACACTAAATTACTGCCTTGAAGAGTTCAGGGACAAACTGCTAGTCTCTCACAGTCTGCACTGTAGGATCCAAGATACTACATGAAACTAGATTTCAGAAATGTTTGAAGTAGGGTATTCGTAATAGTAGAAACAGACAGAAGTCAGTAGTCTAGGATTCTCAGAAGATGAAAGCACCACCAGGTTTCTCTCTCTCTCAGAACATTTCTTTGGAAATGGAAGTGTGGCTCAAGTGGTAGAGCACCAGCCTAGAACATAAAAGCTAAGCTGAGAGTGAAAGGCCCTGAATTAAAACTCCAGTACCAGCAAGGAAGTGGGAGGAGGGAGAAGAGCATTTCCTCAGTAAAGTATGTATGTGAAACTAAAGGTGAGTTTGCTCAAATACAATTAAAAGTTTTCCTATTATGGAATTGTTAAAACATTCACTTGTCTTTTTCATAACCTATATAGAATTTAAAATGGGAAAAAGAATAGAAATAAAACTACATTTTTCTACTTTTTGTCTCATCACTAATTCCATAAAAGGGTAACTCAAGTTTGAGGACAATGATTTGAAGTGTGCCTCAGTCAACAAAATTAAATGTCTAAAACAAACTCAGTGAGGTGCAGATTCAAGAGCTTAAAAATCAGAATGGATGGTTCCTGCCTGTAATCCTAGTACTCAGGAAGCTGAGATCTGAGGACTGAAGTTCCAACCCAGCACAGGTAGGAAAGTCTGAGATGCTTATCTATCTCCAATTAACCACCAGAAAATCGGAACTAGTGCTGTGGTTCAAAGTGGTAGAGCGCTCACCTGGAGCACAAAAACTCAGGGACACCACCAAGGCCCAGAGTTCAAGCCCCATGTCCAACAAAAATAAAAATTAAAACCTAAAAAAGTAAAAACAAAAGGGGAAGGGTATGAGCTCAGTGCTTACGTGCATCCAATTTTCCTTCATTAGCTAAATCACTATAATTACAATGGAACAAAATCAATTGCCTATGACATGTTAAAAAGCTGCTTCCACTACCTTCTGCACATAGTCTCATTTCTATTTCAAATGGAGTCTCCCAACTATAGTTGTATATATAAGGAAACAACTATTAAGTTAATTGACTTAAAATATTGAAAGGGCATTTGTTCTAACATCAAGACACACTGATTAAGGAGGGAAAAACACTTCTATATTTTTGGGGAGTATTTAGGACGTAGAAGTGAAAGTACCCCTAATCAAGGTAATTGATAACTTCAACCTTTACTAAAACTTTTAAAAACAAGTTTCAGTATTCAGTGAGATGACTGGAAATTGTGTAAATGCAGAAGTATTTTATATGTAGGCTTTCTATACCAAGACAAATTTGTGACAACCATTTCATTGCAATTCTCCTAAAAATATGCATTTGACCCAATAGTCTTTGTAACTAAGACAAGCATTTACATACAGAGTATACTGAATGCTAAGATTCAAATCATAATGGAACTTCAAAAAAAGTTCTCTGCCCAATCAATGCAGCATTTGTTTCAGAAATATGGTCTGAAATGCTAATAAATAAAAGGTTTACATTTAAGTTGTCATGACAGAAAGCCCCTTTCTCCTTGGATGTTTTGAAAAAACTTTAGAAACAAAACTGAACACTTCAGACATTCACATCTGTACTAATGCACAGAAATTTGAACTGCAGAAGGTATTTTCCTCTATCCTATCTCTGAGTACTAAATACGGATGAAACTCACTTTTTGATTTTCAAATGACAAGAATATTCTAGACAGCAAATTTAGTTTTATGTAAGATTGAACATTTTAGGAATTAGCCAATGAACTGTTAATATTTTACCCACCTAAAATAAAATACAGCTAACATATGGTTGTGGTACATCCCAGGTAGATGTCATATAAAGCACGCAAGGTGAGGTGCTAGCAAGAGAAATACTCATTTGCAAAAGTAAACAGATAACCCTTCCAATATGATGTACCACAACCACACATGAAAAGTCAAGAACTTACTTTTATTTATTTTAAAATAAACATCGAAGATTCCCCCATTACCCACCACCCTACAAAACTTTTGAATGTGGAATGTTCAACAGCCTATCCATTTTAGGTTACAAAACCAGCAAAAATAAAAATAAAAAAACCTCCAGTTCTCTAATGATGAATGTTTGAGAATAACTGTTTTGTTTTTAAGGAATTGAATTCCTATTGGAAAAATTCCTTAGCTAAAGGCTAAAAATAAAATTTAATTTCTGCACAGAAAATACCATTAACTTAGTAGCCTTTGCTTAATAGGTGGGCGTAATTCTCCATAAAGTCAAAGTGGAACGAAATAACAAGCAGCATTAAGTTCTTAGGCACACAGATCTAGTGCTCAAACTGCTAGCACAAATTCCAACACAGTACGTATGACTAAGCCACTACTAAACTCTCCATCTCTATCAAACTCAAGACTCTCCCTATGCATCTAAGAGTAAGAATTACCACTCTCACATAAATGCCTCCATGAGACAAGGAGAATTCAATTAAAGTTCAATTAGACAAAAGTGTGTATAATACAGCTGCTGGAGATAACCATTAAAATTTGTGACACTAGCAATAAGTGGGGTGAATCACACAAGCTGCTAGCTGTTGAACTCCAGTGTTTCAAAATACAACTTTTATAAACACGTTTTATTTGTTTTATTACCATGAGAACTGAAGTTATTGACTGTCATTTCCCTAAAACAGGGAAATCAATCTAAAACACATACTGGTGCTTTTCAAAAGATAGCAATTTAAATGGGTGGTAGCAGCAGGCATTTTTATCTTTTTCTTTAAAGAACTCTCAAGCTGCAGGAAAAAAAATGTGACCAAAAGGTGTTATGATTATCCATTAAAGATTTTCATCAGTACCTGAACCAATTTAGGTGACAATACAACAAAGATTCAAGGATTAGTGATGACGATACACATCATAAGGAATGATCTATACAGATAGACATATCTATATAGATATATATGTATATATAGTACCAATCCTTATGAAAGTCTCAAAGAAACTGTTAATAGTTCAAAAGGTATCTAAATACTTCACATTAAATATATAAGCAGCCTGTCCAGATTATATCCCATTATTTGTTGCATATTTTTCAAAAGGTGCCAATCAAAGCCTAATTTACATTCTGGCTGTTTTATATAGTATCAGCTGTTAAGCAACTTACATGTGTTTTTAATCACAGTCGTTTGGCCAGATGAACAGTGCTGTGTCAAAGCTAATAGCCAGCCTTACATGTGTGATTAAGGACCCATGCATAATTTGGTATGCATCTAAACATTCTGTGCTCCAATTTAAATGGAAATACTGTGAAATGCAGTTCTTCTGCCAAACCACACTCCACTCCCTCCATCTTCCTTTCAAGGAAAATGTCCTAGTTTTTTCAATTACCACTGAATAACTCTGGGGCTAATTTGTATATTTTACCCAATGTCAAAAGCCAAAGTTACTCTTTTTCAAGCCACTTCAAATAACTATGGAGATATTATTATCCCCTAAAGTATACTGTTTTACTCCTAAGCAAGGGTGAGGAATCTGAATATCATGTGCAAGGCTCAAGATGACGCTTAGGACAGAACATGCAGAGTAAAAATAGTTTCCTTCCATATCCAGGTAATATAAAGCTGACAATTGTAGTCCTGTCTTTATGGGATGAAAACAGTCCCTTTACAATAAGTTTCCTGAAAGGGAGAACAAATAGATAATAACTCTTCTGGTAACATGTTATGGTACACTGGCCAGTGTGTTTTTGGCGATTAAACATAATCCTGTGAATCAGATTAATTCACTTGCTGAGTGTTCATTTGCGGCATCCCTCTGTTGGGTCTTGGGGGCCCTCCACGACCTAGAAGACAAAAATGGCATTTGATTTTTCTTTCAAATATTATTTGTTTTGCCTTCAAGCAGATTTTCATCTGAAGTCAAGAAGCATGTAGGCAGCTTGTCACCACATTATTAGGTTTAAGAGGTCAATTCTTCAGTGTTCAAGTTTCACCTGTCCTGGAAGTTGTCATGCGCATATTTGCTCAAGTTCTCTAGCTAAAAAAAGAGTAGAGCTAATGGAGTATTCCACCAGTACTCATTCATTCAACAAGTATTTATTGAGTGCCTACTATGTGCTAGGCACTGTCATCAGGCGTTGGGAATAGATACAGCAGTAAAGACAGACAAGTTACCTGCTCTCATGGAGCTTACATTCTAATGTACACTCTAGCTTACATTTCAGTATTAACATCATACTATCAAAATTAATAAAAGCACCAGAAGGAAAACAGACCTTATTACCTAAACTGTTAAAAAGAAACTACATAACATTCAAAATTGTATAATGACTTATAACACAAATTGTTTTTTACATGCTGTTAAAACAGATTTTTAGCTATCAGTTAACTCAATTTTCATAGAATATGCTACAAGGTGGGAAAGAACATAACCCACATTCACATGCAAAGACCTCTGATACTTCAAGTCAGTAATTCCCAAGTGATCCATGTGGAAAAAAACACACCTTTTGCTGGCCAATTACTACTAGCACTCAAAGTACTTTTTAATTTGTCCTTAATATACATTTTATACATGTTATGGCCAAAAACTAGATAAAACCTATTTTTTAACCTTCCAATCAGAGAACCATTTAGAACTTTAGATTACATGAAATGCTAGCTTTATAACTGTTAAACAGGTTAACTTCTTGCCCAAATAGGAAGTGATTTTTCTCTAATAACAAAACAAAACAACTCATCTTGCAATATTTAAGTATAGTCAAACAAGTTAGTAAGAATTGGGGATGTTACTTGACAATCAAAAATAATTTGGTACTTAAAGATCACTAATGGTGTTCCAAAATGTATTCAGATTTTCATTAGTTCTACTACTTCTAAATGGTTCTCTATATGAAATTATGGCTTATCTGGCCATTAAAGGGTTTCTGGTCCTAAAATATAATATGCAATATGCATGTTTCAAAAATGAAAAGATAATAAATTTATATAAATGTTTACTCTCACTCCAAAAATGTCTTACAAAAATGTTTCAATAAGTACTTCCTAAAAACATTTAGCAGGTGTTAGGACCTGAAAAAATAATTTCCAGTTGGAAAAACACTTTTTCTGAGGAAGAGAAAATGTTCTTGTTCTTAAGACAGTTTGTATATTAACAGGGAAAGTCGTTCAAAAATTAAAATTTGGATTCAAGATTAAGTTTTAGAAACAGCATTTCATTTAATCCCTAGCAACAAGTCTGAAAAAGATCAACATATTCCTAACATGTAACCTACATGCAGACTATGAACAGCTCTTCCAAGGCCAGAACAGAAGCTCCACTTAGGAGCTAGGATCACCACCACAAAATATTACCTCGTGGGGCTCCCCGTGGTCCACTCTGCCCAGAGCCTCGCTTGAAATTCTGCTGATATCCATCCTAAAAGACAAGCTAGTTAGTATTAAGAAAAACTAAATTTTTCATATGCATATTTTATTTACAAGAATATAAATAAACAGTATCAATCAGAAAGTGTCATTTAAAAAATGCTTGCCCATCTACCTTTCAGTTTTACAGTCTAATATTTACAAAATACTATCATAGCTAAAAGCTATTGTGTAAGTACTATATTTCTATTATACTGACATAGGCCTCTTGAAGATTCCTTTTCTTTAAACAGACTTTTATGAAGTGACTTTTCTAGATGAAGTGAAAAGAAAAGCAGAAGGCCATCTTTTTTTCTATAACAAAATGCTTCAGATATCAAATAACTACCCCCCCCCCAAATTCCTTAGTTATTAAATCCCACACCGTATTTACCTACCCGCTGGTAGCCAGAGTAGTCTCGGGGAGCACTGAACTGAGACTGTGTGTAACCACTGTTTGGAGTGTTAGAGAATGAAGGGCGGTAACCATCATATCCTCCTAAAATTTAGGACAAGAAAAATAATTTTTTCCTTATTCATTTTTTAACTTATTAATGAAAAAGAATGGCATAATTATAAGCATGCTACTTATTCAAACTAATTTTGAACTACCTAATAGATCTAAAGTACTAAATGCCTTAGAAGATAAAAATTTCAGGCAGGTACCCACTGCTCACACTTCTAAGTAGCTACTTGGAAGACTGAAATTGGGAGAATTATAATTTGAGGCAAGCCTAGGCAAAAGTCCATGAAGCACCATCTGAATTTTTAAAAACTGGGTATGAGAGCCCATCAATCATCTACTACGGTAACGTAAAACAGGCACATTATAGTCCAGGAACATACCCACAGAAAAAGCAAGACCCTATCAAGCAAATAACCAATGTGAAAAAAAATGCTGGGGCAAAAAAATGGCTTAGCAATTGAGCATTAGTCCCCCAAGTTCAAACACCTAAACTGCCAAAAGCAATGAAATTTTTACACAGCCACAAATATACACAAAGACAAGGAAATCTCCCTAAGACTTGATAATATCTACAAAACAATTATCCCTATTAGCCAGGTATGAGGGCTCATGCCTTGTAATCACTGGTAATATCAAAGCTAATCAGGAAGACTAATGTTGAAGCTAGACCCAGGCAAAAAAAAAAAAAAGTCTACAAGACCCCATATTTCAACCCATTTCAATAGCAAAGTGAAGTGGCATGTACCAGTCAGCTATGCGATAGGGCTGAGATGGGAAAGGGACTATGGTTCCAGACTATTCCAGGCATAAAAAGCTCATAGGGAAGCCTCCATCTCAACAGAAAAGGCTGTATTAACAAACTGTCATCTCAGTTGTGGTAGGAAAAACAAGAAAATAAATCTCTAGGCCGGCCAGGAAAAAAAATTACCTGATCTAAAAAATAACCAGAGCAAAGTGGGCTGGAACCATGACTCAGTGATAGGGTACTAAGCACCTGACTTCAAACTCCATCACCAGCACCAAAAACAAATCAACAAAGAAAAAACTTCTACATTTGGCAAAAACAAGTAACAAAAAATTTCTGTATAGCATTTCATTAACTGCATTTAAGCATAACTCAAGTGACAGTGCCAGCCACAAACAAACAACAAAAAAATTCTGTATAGCATTTCATTAGCTACATTTAAAATATACTTAGTGGAAATTTAAGCATAACTCAAGTGATAGTGTCAGCCACAAACAAAAAGGCTGCAAATAATGAGTTTAAATCACAATTCTCAAAATAAAATTAATAATGAATAATACATAAATGTTAAAAGTTGAACCTAAGAGGCTAATTCAGAGATACATCTCTCCTGAAAACCATCCGACATGTTTTACAAACCAAAAAACAACCAACTTAAATAAAAATCCTACAAGTTCAGGGCTAGGAATGTGGCTCAGTGGTAGAGTACTTGCTTAGCAGGCATGTAGCCCTGGTTGATTCCTTAGTACCAAATAAACAGAAAAGGCCAGAAGTCACAAGGTGGCTCAACTCATAGAGTGCTAGCTAGCCTTGAGCAAAAAGATCAGGGACAGTGGTCAGGCCCTGAGTTTAAGCCCCAGGTCTGGCCAAAGACAATCCTTAAAGTTCATTACAACTTGCATCTCATTGCTTTTACCTCTGAACCCATTGGCAGGTCCCCGGTATCCATTCATCAAGCCTCTAGCACCACGGGAACCTCCACGAGACACACCACGACTATTGTAATAAGGCTGACTGCCCCGAGGAAATCCAGTGTTCTGTTGAGGAGGCTGCTGGTGGTTGCCGGTCACTGGATGGGACTGGTCCTGGGAACCGTGGTAAGTGCCAACTACTACAATAAGGAACACAAATATTATACAGTCCCATTACCATTTGTTCTCTTACATGCTTTCAGGTTTAAGCAACAATTTTTACATTTTACAGTCCCTTAAAGTGTTGGGGGGGTTTTGTTTTTATTTTGTCTGTTGTGGGGCTTGAACTTTGGCCTGAGCACTGTCCCTCAGGCTCTTCAGCTCAAGGCTAGTGCTCTACCACTTGAGCCACAGAGCCACTTCCGATTTTCTGGTGGTTTTTATTGGAGGTAAGCGTTCCATGGCTTTTCCTGCCTGGGCTGACTTTGAACTGCAACCCTCAGATCTCATCCTCCTGAGTAGTTAGGATTACAGGCGTGAGTTACCGGCGCCCAGCTAAGTTTAATGTTTTTTAATTTCCAGATTAATGAGGAAAATTGAACATAAATGATATCACTGTCTCTTTCCCACCCATAGATTAAGCTGGAGGGCTGGGGGCAGAGGAAATGGATACAAAATTTCCAAACCTTCCAAAGTAGAATACACAATGTTACCCTCCAAATAAATTACGTATACTATTATATACTGTACGCACTATATACTATTACCTTCTGAAAAGTGAGCCCCTATGAAAACAGTGACTTAAAAAAACCTAGCAAGTGGCTAGCCTGTCCAAATATCCCACTTTGGGGATAAAAAAATACGTTTTGTAATTTTTAAAAAATTTATACAATTTTTTAATTTTTATTTAATTATCTTATACCCACAAGGAATTTCTAATATATTCTCGGTTTTCACACATTGTGCAGTATAATGAATTCCTACAAAGAGGAAATGTTATGACTTTGCCAAGTTAATAAATAAGCTTCACTACTCATATTATTTTCCATAATCTTTTATATTTTTGATACTTAAAATTGTCTCACAAGGCTGGACACCAGTGACTGACAGCTGTAAATCCTAGCCGCTCAGGAGGCTGAGATCTGAGGTATGTGGTTGAAAGACAGCGGCAAGAAAGACCAGAAAACCAGAAGTGTCGGTGTGGTTCAAAGTGGTAGAAAACTAGCCTTGAGCAAAAGAGCTCAGGGACAACACCCAGGGTCTGAGTTCAAGACCCACCATCAATCCTCCCTGCCAAGTCTCACAACTTTCCTGCCCCATCTAACTTCAATCCACAATCCTCAGATCTAAGCCTCCTAGAGTAACTAGGATTATAGGCATGAGCCACAGCCACCTGGCAAGAACTGAAAATTTTCTGTTTTTCCTTTCCTTCAAAGGGAGTTACAAGGTCCCACTACATAACCCAGGTTAATCAATAACCTTGAATTCAATGTCTTCATGCCTCAACCTCCTAAGTGCTTGTAATAGGTGACATCAAATTCCTTTTTAACCAGTAATTTTATTACTAATATCAAATATCAACTGTAACGAACTCACATCAAACCAATTCAAAATACCTTTAAATAAACAATGCTTACAACACACCAGGCATGTTCCCACACAATGAATCTTGTCAGTTAACCAATGCAATGGTACCCCTATACAACCTTATTCTAATGAGATGATAAAGACAAATGAGTCAAAAAAAAACTCAGCTGCATTTGAAGAGTGGAGATAGGTGTCTGAGGTGATATTTGAATAGCAATATGAAAGTACTGCAGCGGGCCCAGTGGCTCACACCTGTAATCCTAGCTACTCAGGAGGCTGAGATTTGAGGATCATGGTTCAAAGGCAGGAAAGTCCATGAGACTCTTATCTCCAACTAGAAAACCAGAAGTGGCACTGAGGCTCAAGTGGTAGAGCCCAAGCCTTGAGCTGAAGAGAGCAGGGACAGCACCGAAGCCCAGAGTTTAAGGCCCACAACTGACAAAAAAAAAAAAAAAAGGACTGTGACCAAGTATGGTACAGTGCTGATGCTTGTCATTTCAGCTACTTTGGAGAAGATGCCAACTACTGACAAAAAGACAGCAAGGGAAGACTCTATGGCAAAGAACAAGCCAAGCATTGTGTTATAAACCTATAATCATAGTCCAAGGCAAGTCCAGGCAAAAAGTGAGACCATATGAGAAAAGCAACTAAACCAAAAAGTGTTAGGGGCATGGTTGGAGGAGCAAACCCCAGAACCACACCTGTCAAAAAAAAAAAAATTTCAGGAGATCAAGAACATTAACACTGCAAGTAGCACTGTAGCTCAAGGCCGAGAGTTCAAGCTCCACAACTGACAGCCCCCCATTAAAAAAAAAAGGAAAGAGAAAAAAACATCCACTCGTCTTCTAAAAGGATTGGCTACTTTGTTGTGCAATTCCAGTTGTATTCCTAGAAATTACCCAAAGACCTAAAAGAACCTAAAAGAAGTATTTGAAATATTACAAATTTCAGAAATCTCTACCTGCATTATTGTGATAATAAATGGCCAAAAAGGACTTTACTTCAATCCAGTTCGCAAAGTGAAGCAGAAGTCTTATGCAGAAGTTTTAGAAATTAGCACAATAAGTATCAAAGCAACTCCTAATTGCTTTCTAACTGACCTATTGCCAAGTACCATGCTACCAGGTTACAAACAATGAGCAATTAAAATTATAAATTATACAGCTTTGTAACCCTTTTGTACAACTACATCATCATCATCATAATAAAGTTGGAGTCGGGCTAGGAATGTGACTTAGTCGTATGCCTAGCATGCACGAAGCCCTGGGTTCAATTCCTTAATACCACACAAACAGAAAAAGCCAGAAATGACACTGTGGCTCAAGTATAGGGCGTTAGCCTTAAGCAAAAGAAGCTCAGGGACCACTGAGTTCAAACCCAGGAATGCCTCCCCGTCTACCCCCTCCCCAAAAAAGTTGGAGTTTATTACAAACTGCCTAGTGACTTATGACTATAATCCTAGCTATGTAAAACTGGCTGAGATTTAAAGATCAAAATTCAAAGCCAGATTATTTCTCTCCAATTAAACTGCAAAAGGCAAGAGTTGAAGCTGTGGCTCAAGTGGCAGAGCAGTAGCCTTGAGTGAGAAAGTGAAAGGCCAACATCCAGCGCTAGAGTTCAAGGTGCAGTACCAGGAAGTGGCCCAGTGGCTCTAGTGGTAGAGCGCTAGCCTTGAGCTGAGGAGCTGAGGGACAGCATTCAGGCCCAGAGTTCAAGCCCCATGACTGACCAAAAAAAAAAAAGGTGAAGTACCAGCATTGGAAAAAATAAAAATACAAAGGTTAATTCCAGTGAAGATTATGCAATAAAAAATATTAAAATCAAAGCACTTGGTTGGTACCACCACTATGAAGTCTGCATTGGAAAGCAAGAAGCCAATAAAACATTAGTTTTCCTACCTGTTTGAAGCTGTTCTTGCTGGAGCTCTGTTTGTTCCACCTGATGCGGCTGACTAGAAAAGCTCTGGTTATAACTGGCCTGGTACTGATTTTGCTGTTTTAAAGTTTCGGGTTCATTAACAGGAGGAACAGGAGCATTCATATTGAACACCTGTAAGCAATTAAAGTAAAATTTCAGTTTGTCCTTTATTCCCATGCTCTGAATATGGCACATCTCAATACTGTTTTTGCCTCAAATGTAAATATCACAGAAAACACACACACACACACACACACATCCTTCAATGCATTTCAGCATAAGAAAACACTTAAGTTTTGAATACTTTATGAATATGCCATGAAATGGAAGTTGGGACTTAATCATAATACATGCAAGCAGTTTGATACAATACCCCTCACAGAAATTTAATTTTTAATCTTGTGATTCACTTAATTTTAATATTCTAATTTAAAAAAAGTATCTAAATGAAATTAGCACCAGGCATCAATGGCTAAAATCTAAGGATTACCTTTCAAAGCAAGCCTGTGAAGGAAAGTCCATGAACTTTTGTTTTTCTTTTTTCTTTTTTTTTGGTTGGTCGTGGGGCTTGAACTCTGGGACTGGGCGCTATCCCTGCGCTCTTTAACTCAGGGCAAGCACTCTACCACTTGAGCCACAGCGCCACTTCCAGTTTTCTAGTGGTTAATTGGAGATAAGAGGCTCACAGACTTTTCTGCCCTGGCTGGCTTTGAACCGTGATCCTCAGATCTCAGTCTCCTGAGTAACTAGGATTACAGGCGTGAACCACCAGCACCTGGCCCATGAAATTCTCATCTCCAATTAACCACCAAAAAGGATAGAAGTGGAGCTGTGGCTCCAAATGGTATGAGTACTAACTAGCTTTGAGCAAAAAAAAAAAAAAAAAAAAATTCAGAAACAGTGCCAAACAGGTCTGGGACTTTGGCTCAGTGGTATAGCGCTTGCCTTGCATGCCTGAGGCCCTGGGTTTGATTCCTCAGCACCACATAAGCAAAAAGAAAAAAGCCAGAAGTGGCACTGCTGTGGCTCAAGTGGTAGAGCGCTAGCCTTGAGCTGAAGAGCTGAGGGACAGCGCCCAGGCCCAGAGTTCAGGCCCCACAACTGGACCCCCCGCCCCCCCCAAAAAGAAACAGTGCCAAACAGAGTCCAAGCCCGAGGACCAACATGGAAAACAAAATAAAACAAGTCTTTAGGTACTGACTTAGATGTGTCTATTAGTGTTTTTATGTCAATATTTTCTAGAAGTTCTCCACTTTCAAGATACTTACTGATAAGCTATAGTGAAATAAAATCTCGATAATTTAGAAAACTATGCAAATAGGAGAAAATGTCCAGTGTTAAAATCTAGGTTATCATTTACTGGGATATTAAGAGTACTCAATTCCATTATATTTTTGTTAATTAAAGCAAAAGGGTAACACTACCAAAAAGAAAATATTCAGGGGCTGGGAAGGTGGCTCAGTGGTAAAGCGCTTGCCTTGCATGCATGAGGCCTGGGTTTGATTCCCCAGCATCACATAAGCAAAAAGAAAAAAGCCGCAAGTGGCGCTGTGGCTCAAGTGGTAGAGAGCTAGCCTTGAGCTGAAGAGCTGAGGGACGTCACCCAGGCCCAGAGTTCAGGCCCACGACTGGACCCAAAAAAAAAAAAAAAAAAGAAAAAGAAAACATTCAGGTGTATAATGTGAAGTCTCAAATTTATCTCAGATAAAGATAAATGAGTAACATCTCAAATAAACAATTTACAATTACATTAAATATAACCTCTGTCTAGGTGCTAGTGGTTCACACCTGTAATCCTAGCGACTCAGGAGGCTGAGGGAAGTCTCTGAAGTATAGCCATGGCTCAAGTGATAAGGAGCTAACCTTGAGCAAAAAAGCTCATGGAGAGTACCCAGGCCCAGGGTTCAAGCCCAAGGATGAGCACAAAAAATAGTAAGATAAATAAAAATAAAGGAAACTATAACTGGTCAGAGTAACACATGCCTGTAATTCCAACATTAGGAGGCTGGTACAAAAAGTGCTACAAGTTCTAGGCTAAGCTGAACTACACAGAAAAAGAAAGCAAATATATCGATAAATACAGCTCATGGACAGTTAAATGAAGACTCTTTGATTTTTATAGTATATACTATACACAAAATGTTATATGGATTAATTTGCATTACCGTTTGCATGGATTGGAATGGAGCTGCATTTACATTGATTCCACTGCTATGCAAAGGTTTACTTGTCCCAGCTTGGAATACTTGAGGCTGAGAAGCAGCAGGAAGGGATGATGACGCTGTACTCTGGTCTGTATTTAAAGAGATTGTTGCCTAAACACAAAGCAAATAAATAGGTTCTTAGTGATTAACTCAAAGTGGTTTTATTAATAATTTTAACTATTCCATTAAAGCAAATTAAATTGAGAAAGTCACCATTAATGAATTAGTAATTCTAAATTACCTCTGCCAATTCATAAGTGCCTAAACAAGCTTAATATAACTTGCCTGAATCTGATCAATTGGTTCCTTCTGTGGTCGTTGCTCTGTAGCATGAGAAGGCTGGTACAAGGGCTGAGACGCTGAATAACCCTCACTTGTGGATGAAACCAACGGAACCTAAACAGAAGTTTAAAAAAGAACATCAAACCTGTCTTACAAAATTGACCCTTAAAAAATAAACCGGCCCTGTCAGACAATGGTGACTCAGGCCTTCAATCCTAGCAACTCTCGATCTGAGGACTGAGGTTTGAACCTAGCTCAAGCAGTCCATATAACTCTTCTCTCCAATTAAGAAAAAGCCAGAAGTGGAGCTAGAGCACAAGCCTTAAGCAAAAACAAGCTGTAGGACCTGCTATAAATAGGACTTTAAAAAAAAAAAAAAGACTATGCTTTTTTTTGTTTTGCCAGTATAGGGGCTTGAATTAGGACCTGGGCATTCACTGTCTCTTCATTGTTTCACTTACAGCTGGCACTCTACCTCATTAGCCACAACTTTACTTCTGGCTTTTGTGGTGTTTAACTGAAGGTAAAAGTCTCAGACTTTTCTGTCCAGGCTGACCTTGAACCATGATCCACAGATCTCAGCCTCTTGAGTAGCTAGGATTACAGGCATAAGACACCAGCAATTTTTTAAAAATCAGAAATTAATACATTCTCTCTGTATTTGGGAACTACACATCCTAAGAATTGCAATTTTAACCTCAAAGGTTAATACACTTCAGTACATTATGAAGTCCCTTCACAAGTTTCTTAGATTAAAAAATCCATTTAAAAACTAAATGTTGTCTAAAACATGTTGTCTGAAACTCTACTTAATTTGAAATTAAACGGATTCATTTTACCTGGTGCCAGTGGCTCATGCCTGTAATCTTAACTACTTAAGAGGCTGAGTTCTGAAGATCATGACTGGCTCAAATTGATCATCAAAAAGCCCAAAGTGGAGATCTGACTCAATTGGTAGAGAGCTAACCTTGAGTGAAAAAGCTCAGGGACAGGGCCCAGACCCTGAGTTCAAGCCAAGGACCAGCACTGCACATGTACACACACACACACAATCCTTCGTTTTAATTACCTTTTATAAACATAAGAATGAACATGGAAAAACTCAAGAAACCAAAAGAAAAGATAAGCCTGGCACCAGTGGCTCACGCCTGTAATCCTAGCTACTCAGGAGACTGAGATCTGAGGATCGCGGTTCAAAGCCAGCCTAGGCAGAAATGTCTGTGAAACTCAGAAAACAGGAAGTGGCGCTCTAGCTCAATTGGTAGAGCATTGGCTTTGAGCTGAAGAGATCAGGGACAGAGTCCAGGCCCACAGTTCAAGACCCACGACTGACCAAAAAAAAAAAAAAAAGAAAGAAAAAAAGTAAAGATAATTACCATGATAAGTACCCATGTGTCAGTGAATCTGTGGGAAAAGACCTAAAAACAAACTATATATATACTGCTGAAGAGTGACCTAAGAAACAAACCTGAGAAATTATTATTCCTCTTACCTGTGTAGCTTCTGGTTGTACAGACACTTGATTAGGTTGAGCAAGTCTAGACTCAGAATGAACTGCAAAAATAACAAAATTATACAAAATCAAATTTCTCAATAAATGTGTAAATATCTTTAATATGGCTGTACATGGCAAATTTTTATGGCCAAAAAACAAAACACATATTTTGTTCATCAAGAAAAGAACTGTTGAGTATAGTTCTACCAAGTTTGGCTTTCAAATGAGTATTTTGGTTCACTGCTTATAATTCTAATTTATTCTCACATACATTTTATTTTGTATTTTTTTAAGGATAAAGTCAAATACCAGAAAGTAATCAAGAATAAGGTAGAAAGAATGACAGATATTCATTCCACAAGTTTGCCACTTAAAGCAATAAAAGTAGCATTGCCTATGCATACTCAAGACTGAATAGATATTATTCAGCTAATATTTTAACATCAACCTTGAATGTACTTCCCCCCTATGTTTTCATGGGGACTGAGGTAAAGGGGGAAGAGAGAATGAGAAGGAAAAGGAGAAAAAGAATAAACAACTACTTTAAAGCCTATATGAAATTCAATGTGCAACTTTATTTACAGTTCTTATCAAGTTCCTACCTTCCTCCCCAACCATGATTAAGACAATCCTAAGGGTGGGAATATGGCTTAGTGGTAGAGTGCTTGCCTAGCATGCACAAAGCCTTTGGGTTCGATTCCACAGTACCATATAAACAGAAAAGGCCAGAAGTGGCGCTGTGACTCAAGTGACAGAGTGCTAGCCCTGAGCACAGAGAAGCTCACAGACAGTGCCCAGGCCCCGAGTTCAAGCTCTGGGACTGGAAAAAAAAAAAAAAAAGATAATCCTAAGTACAGAATCACTGCTCATTAAGAAACCAAAAACTATCATTCAAGTGTCCGGCTACCTAAAAATCCTTAGAGCTGTGTTAGTGTTAACATTAGGCACAATTTGGCACGATCTGTCAACCTGGAAACTACCTATCTCTCACTCTGGTAAGAATTTAGATAATAAATATTAAAATTTTGCTTTCTAAAGCCAGATCACATGTAGCTCAGCTAGGAGGATATACCTTGGGCTGAGTCAGCACAGGGTAGGAAAGTCCATGAGACTTATCTCCAATTGACCACAAAAATCAAGAAGTGGGGCTGTGGCTCAAGTGATAGAGTGCTAAGCCTTGAGCACAAAAACTCAAGGACAGTGCCTATGCCCTGAGTTCAAGTCCCCCAGACTAGCACATTTTTAACTACTAAGTTTTCATAACTTTTGGTAAAATGTTGACAGATATTTTAAGCTTCCTTACTATAGAGAAATTGAAACCACCTTGCCAAATTGTTTCACTGAATGTGCTTTTACTCAGTCCCACTTTGATGGCATAAGATTACACAACACTGTAGATGCAGAATGCCACTACATGAAGAAAAAAAGACCAAGACGACCCTAAATGAATGTCACAAGAGATCATTTAATGCAAGGAGTTAACTAATTGCCAGTAACTATCTCACTTATTTAATCCTCTTAAGAATTTCCTTTCTTCAGTACATCTTGTTTTGATTTAGGGATTTACAAGTTTAGAAATTTTCAGAAATGGCACTGTGGCTCAAGCGGTAGAGTGCTCCCCCTGAGCTGAAGAGCTGAGGGACAGCGCCCAGGCCCAGAGTTCAAGCCCCACAACTGACCAAAAAAAAAAAAAAGAATAAACTTTAGGGCTGAGAAGGTGGCTCAGTGGTAGAGCACTTGCCTTGCATACATGAGGCTCTGGGTTCGATTCCTCAGCAACACATAAGCAAAAAGGAAAAAAAGCCGGAAGCGGTGCTGTTGCTCAAGTGGTAGAGCGCTAGCCTTGAGCTGAAGGACAGCACCCAGGCCCAGAGTTCAGGCCCCACGACTGGACAACCCCCCACCACCACCACCAAAAAAAGAAATTTTCCTGAAGAGATGCAGCTATCTACCGCTTTCATTTCTAATAGCAAGAAAAAGATTCTTGAAATTATAATCAGTGATTGAGAGGGAGCATAAAATATAGATATCTGCCATAGTAATAGTATAGTGATGCTTTATTTCCTGCTCTAAATGCTGGTGTCTTGAGTTTCAACATGCTGACTTCAAGCCCCAGTACCATCACACTAAGAAAGCAAAAAACTATAAACGGTAATAAAAAGTTGCATTATAGGAAAAATATTTCTCAAATTAATGACTAGGTTCAAAAGTTATGCCAAATATTAATGAAAATTTTAATTTTCATAAACTATAAAATATGAAGCATTAGCCTATACTTTCTCTCTCTACTAAAAAATGTAACATTACCAACCTGGAGGGCAAACCAGCTGAGGCATGTCCATATTTTGGGTTGGATTCATAGGCTGTGCAGATACAATGGCAGGATCAAGTGTCTGGTTTTCAAAATCCAGCATTGAGTCCTATGAGAATAATGGAATGGTGTCAAATGACATAAACACTTAAAATGTGTTATAGTTTGTTTTTGTAGTTTTACGAAAAAGCACATACCTGTATGAAATTGTAAGGACCTTGCATTTGTGCCATTAGATCTTGTACTCGCTGTCTCCTCACAAGGGGATCTGCCTGAGCCACCTGAGTCAAAGAGTGGGGCTCAGGTACTGAAGGAGATGCAGCCTGTGGTTGTTGCTGGAGTGAATTTACCACCTAAAGTCAGGAGAGAGATGGAAGAGTTCTATTCATTAATATCATTAGTGATACTCAAGCCATGTAAACTATCCTATAAACATAAGACTATAAAATACTCAAATGGACTACAATTATTCCAAACTTAACATTCTGGTCAGTAATATCATCTGAACTTTTCTCGGTCCCATAGGATTAACATGTAGCATTTCAGATTTACTTTTATGTTTTCTGTAACTGAATCTATATTATCTGTAGCAAATGTGTATTATACATATATAGATAAGAAGAACCAGGTATTTAGCCAGCACTCAACCAATGGTGGCCTTAACTATCACCTAAATTTTTTTAACTTTAATCAATGAAAATTACTTCAATAAAATACCCTCCCTTCTTATCTTTTCTGATGTTTCAGTGTTACATCTGATCTGTTTCAGATCTACTATTTCAATTTCCACTATTTACTGTTCTTAGTAATTCCTGGCTCTACTTGAAAATTCTTGCTGATTTTTACAACATCTCATTTATGTTCATTTTATTGGCTTTTAAGTTTCATTTTTCTCAAGCAAATGCTGAGATAAAAATCATTAAACTAGAGAGAGCCAATGGAGAGAAAAGGTGAATAAGGATGAATATAGGGGCTGGGAAGGTGGCTCAGTGGTAGAGTGCCTTGCATGCCTGAGGCCCTGGGTTCGAGTCCTGAGCACCACATAAGCAAAAAGAAAAAAAGCTGGAAGTGGCGCTGTGGCTCAAGTGGTAGAGCGCTAGCCTTGAGCTGAAGAGCTGAGGGACAGCGCCCAGGCCCAGAGTTCAGGCCCACGACTGGACTCCACCCCCCCCCCCCCCAAAAAGATCTTTTCTTTTCAAGTAGGTGCTAATGGCACACATTTGTACTACTAGCTACTCAGTAGGCTTAAGACTTGGACAATCTTGGCTCAAAGTTCATGTAGAAAAGTGTATAGGACTCAATCTCTAATTACTAGCAAACTACCAGTCTGGTGGCATGGCTCACGTGGTAAAACACCAGCAGTGAGGGTTAAAAAGCCAAACAGTAGATCAAGGCCCATGTAGGGAAAAAAAAAAAAAAAAAATCACAATATCCCACCTGAAAAGTAATTTGACAAGGGGAGATTTTGAGTCATGGAGGCATGACTCAAGTGGTAGAATGGTAGCTAGCGAAGTCCCTAATTACAAAATCCCAATATCATAAACATGAGAAAAAGCATAAACAAACATCAATCTTGTAATACAGAAACCTCTTACCTCAACAGTTTCAACTGTCCACTCATCTACCTGCTCTTTTTCACCACTGCCGAACTGTGCTTCTGCCATAAATTGTCTATTTACATACTGCAAAGCAAAATAAATGTTTTGAGATTTCTGTTTGAAAGTCAGGTAAGTTAAAGGTAATATTGTACTATGTAAAAATCATACCTCTGTTGATTCAACTTCACTTTGTTCAGTGTATTCTTCTGCTGGTTCAGGTTCTAAGCGGTGAAATAAAAGATTTTTTAGGTCAGTGAAAGTAGTTTCTAAGACATATAATGGATACCTGTTTAAAACAACCAAGTCTATAGAATTTACATCACAACAAAAAAGAACTGTAATGTAAGCTATGACTTTGGATAATAATGACATGTAAATGTAGGTTCAACTACAGTTAAGTGTACTATTCGAGGGGAATCCTGACAAGAGGTAACGCAAGTGTGGAGATGGAGGATCCATTGGAAATATCTGTATCCAGTTTAACTGTAACCTTAAAACTGTTCTTCAAAGTCTACTTTTAGACAGCTGTAGTGGCCCATACATGTAACTCCAACTATGAGGAAGAACTGAGTTTCAGGGTCAGGTGGGGCAAAAAGTCATCAACTTGCTTTACTGGTGCTCTGTAATTATTGAAGCCAAGCCTCCATTTGTGGCTTTTTGCTGGTTACTTGGAATTAATCTGGCAAGATTCTGTCTGCCTGGGCTGGCTTCAAATTTTGATGCTCAGATTTCAACATCCTGTGTTTATAGGCATGAGCCACTTTACCTGGCTGTGTTTAGAACTGCTCAGAATTTTACTAAAGTGTTACCATAGAAGTACTCATAATATCAGTCTAACACAATTAGTGCTGTGCTAGATTTCAAAATGAATTAGAAAAGAACCCTTTCTGCTGTGATATTTCTAATTTGTATTTGTAATGTCCTCATGATAAAAGAAAAAGTTTTAGCTAGGCCCTGGTGAGGATCACAGTTCAAAGCCCAGGCTGGGCAGGGAAAGTTATGAGACTCCTATCTCCAATTCACCCCCAAAAGAACCAGAAGTAGAACTATGGTTTGAGTGATCAGAGTACTAGCTGTAAGCAGCTAAGATCAGGGGCAGCACCTAGGCCCTAGATGCAAGCTTCAAGAATGGCACAAAAAAGAAAAAGAAAAAGTTTATGGTAAAAATAAACCTACAGAAATCAAGAAAAACATCTATTTAAAAATCCTTATGAGGCAGGCAACGGGCTCATGCCTGGAATCCTATCTACACAGGAGGCTGAGATCTGAGGATCACGGTTTAAAGGCAGCCCAGGCAGGAAAGTCCACAAGACTCTTATCTCCAATTAACAACCAGAAAACCAGAAGTGACCCTGTAGCTCAAGTGGTAGAGTATTCACCTTGAGCTGAAGAACTGAGGGGCAGCACTCAGGCCCAGAGTTCAAGCCCCACAACCAACCCCCCCCCAAAAAAATTGACCCTTACCCCAACTCCTGACCAGCAATACTTTAGAACTGTCAATAACCATAATCAAGATTAGCAGACTTGCCAGACGCCTGTGGCTCAAACCTGTAATCCTAGCTACTCAAGAGGCTGAGAGCTGAGGATCGTGATTCAAAGTCAGCCCAGGCAGGATAGTCTGTGAGACTCTTATCTCCAATTAACCACCAGAAAACCAGAAGTGGTACTATGGCTTAAGTGGTAGAGTGCTAGCTTTGAGCTGAAGAGCTGAGGGATAGCACCCAGGCCCAGAGTTCAAGCCCCATGACTGGCCAAAAAGAAAAGATTAGTAGACCTGATACTGAATACTTCATGCAATTACTTCATGCAATTACTTTTATTGAAATTACTCTTGATGTGCTTTGTCTTCACATTGTATCTTGTACGTTTTAATTTTTTTTAATCTAAGTATACCTATTCAATATTTAATTAAGTATGTAACTTAAACTTATAGCAAAGGAAAAGAAAGGCCAGGAACGTTAACTCAAGACCTAAAGGGTCTTATCCATCTAGGTCAGTACTTACCAGCTTCAGCTACCTGGTCTTCTCCTGTAGGTGCAGAGGCTGCTTCTTCTTCTTCACACAGCCCATTCTGGTGATTGTGGGTGCTATCAAAGTAGTTTGACTGAAAAACACGCTCAACAATTTCCTTTAAAGCTTTATCTAAAAAATAATGTGAATTAGAATGTTAGACTTATGATAACAGGCATAAAGTTCAACATTCTATGAAATACTGCAAAAAGAAAACCCTTATGAACGGCAAATAAAATATATACACAGAAACAATAAAAATTTCACCTAGAAAGTTGTATCCCAGATTGACAAGCTACAAAACAACTTGCATTAAACTCTGTGGGGAAGCCAGATGCTGGTGGCTCTATTTGTAATCCTAACTATTCAGGAGGTTGAGATCTGAGGATCACGGTTTAAACGCCAGCCTGGGCAGGAAAGTAAGTCTGTGAGACTTACAGTCAATTAAAATCACAGAAAAAAAAAAAAAGCTGGAAGTGTGTCGTTGCTCAAATAACAGAGTGAAAGCCTTGAGCAAAAGTTGCTCAAGGACAGCACCCAGGCCCAGAGTTCAAGCCTCAGGACCAGCAAAAAGGACATAAATTTTGTGGGATTATTTTGTTTGATGGGTTTGTTTTTGTTTTTGTTTTGGGGGGGCGGTAAATAGGTCCTGAGGGCCCGGGCATTGTCCCTGAGCTTTTGTGCTCAAGGCTAGTGTTCTAACACTTGCGCCCTAGCTGCACTGCCAGCTAGGTATCACTATCCTGCCTGCCTACCAAGTGGAGTTTAAACCCCCAAACTGCCAAAAAGTACTACAAAAAGGAGCAATAAATTGGACCTCATCACAATGACACTTCCCTGGTATACTTGCAACAAAAGCTAAGATAAAGCCAGGCACTAATGGTTCACCTCTGTAATTTGGCTACTCAGGAGGCTGAGATCAGAGGATAAAGGTTTGAAGCCAGTCCAGGCAGCAAAGTCTATGATATTCTTGTCACCAAAAAAGATGGAAACAGAGCTGTGACTCAAGTAGTAGAGCACTAGCCTTGAGCAACAAAGCTCAGAGACAGTGCCTGAGTTCAACCTCCAAGACCACAGCACTTAAAAAAGAAAAAAAAAAAAGGCTAAAATAGAGCTCAAGTGGCAGAATGCTAGCCTTGAGCACAAGAGCTCAGGGACAACATCCAGGAAATGATAACGGGAAGGAATTGTTTCAAGATAGGAGAGCACTTTCCTGGCCTTGTGTAGCAGATCTATATGTAGCAGGGCTATTTCAATTGGACAACATACAGAAAAATAAAACTTTTAACAAAATTCTATCAAAACACCACAGAATTAATCCTAATAAAACTATTACCATCAACTCAGAATAATGAACATTTCATGCTTTTCTTCACTTCAGAAATACATGATTCAATTCAGAAGTACCTATTTTCAAAACTTTATGGCTAAAAACAAGATGTATATAAAAACATTAATTGGAGGGGGGTGGGGGAAGGATGGGAAGGGATGGGAAGGAGAAACAAAGGAGGCTACAATGCTTGATAAGAAATGTAGTCATTATCTTGCCCATGTAATTATAACCCCTCTGTACAGTATTTTCACAATAAAAAAAAACATTAATTGGAGTACATGAATACCTTTTCATTAGCTATATAGATGTTATAATCCTAAAATATGCAAACAAGATTAGGTAGACAAGAACAACAAAGCCTTCTGAAGCTGAACAACAGTGGAGGATGAGAAAGATGGGGGTGGGAATTTGAGTGGGGGCTATTTTGCATATGATGGGAACGTCACATTAACACCTCACTTGCACAAATAAGACAAAAATCTGAAGAAATTTTTAGTTATACTCACAGGTTGTTCCACATACAGATTTTTCCTTTCCTTCCAACAAGTCCCAAAGGTGAATGGAGGCATGTTCATACTGTTCATTCAACCTATAATAAATAATACAACTAATCACCTTTCAGTTTATTAATTAAATATTTGTAAGTTTCTGTTACCAAGTATCACTGTACCTTAAGCTCATGTCCCGTTCAGGGTCCACTAGCTTGTAGAATTCATCCAACAACGATAATTCTTCTTCAGACAATATTGGCACTCCATTTAAACCTTGTTTCAGGTCAGTTCGCACTTCATCATCTCCCAATTTGTCCAAAACGTATTGTAGCTCAAGTACAGTTTTTAAACGTTTCTGTTCAGCTTCTTCTCTCATAAGCTGTTCCCGACGAGCTGTCTTCTTTATTGTTTTCTGAATCTACAGAAGAATGTAAGACCAAAAAAGTTAAAAGCTACCTATGAAAAATTCTCATTTTTATTAAGCACCATTTTCTAACTCACAAAATGCCTGGCACTAGTGGCTCCTATCTGTAATCCTAGCTAATCAGGAGGCTAAGATCTGAGGATCTCAGTTCAAAGCCAGCCAGCCTAGTTAAGATTCTTATCTGCAATTAGCCCCCAGAAAACTAGAATTGGAGCTGTGGCTCAAAGTGGTAGAGCACTAGCTTTGAACAAAAAGAGCTCAAGGACAGCACCCAGGCCCTGAGTTCAAGCCTCATGAACAACCAAAAAAAAAAAAAAAAAAAAAAATCAAACAAGATGCCAAAACCTACCAGTGACTACGCTCCCTTGCCCCAACAATCAATCCAGGCATCAGCGGCTCACACCTGTAATCCATGCTACTCAGAAGGCTGAGCTCTGAGGATTGTCAGCCTAGGCAGGAAAGTCCCTGAGACTCTTATCTCCAATTAAGTACCAGAAATCTCCAATTAACCACCAAAACACCAGAAGTGACATGGAGGCTCAAGAGCACTTGCCTTCAGCTAAAGAGCTCAAGGGACAGCACCCGAGCCCCATAGTTCAAGCCCCATGACCGACAAAAAAAAATAACATAAAATATTAAAAATGACTGAAGTCAAGCACAGGGGCTCATACCTAAAATCCTATCTGCTTTGGAGGTTGAGATCTGACGATTACAATTTGAAACTAGCCTGGGCAGGAAAGTCTGAAAGACTCTTATCTCCAATTAACCACTAAAACGTCAGCACCCAGGCCTTGAGTTCATGCCTCAGTTCTCACACACACAAACACATACAAACAAACACACACACACACACACACACACACACAGTGATTAAAACTCTTTATTTTACTGAGTAAGAAAAAGCAGGCAGAACAAAAGAAACTGGCAGTAAAAGATGACTAATAATAAGTACAAATGTATTTATTCCACAAAGACTGAAGGGATACCACTAGCAAGTTTCGCTCTTCCATTTTCAGGCTTATCATTACCTTGGAGATTTTTAAAAGGTCAGCATTTTTAACAACCATGGCTATGCTTTCACTCTCGTTTTTCCTTATCTAAAGCCTCACTATAATTAACAAAGAGAGAAAAAACAAAAATAGGGTCATATGAAGCCTATGTTAAAAGTAATGGAGACCAAAAAAATGATATAAGTAGGCTGGGAGCCGGTGGCTCACGTCTATAATCCTAGCTACTCAGGAGGCTGAGATGTGATGATCACGGTTCAAAGCCAGCCGGGCAGGGCAGGAAAGTCCATGAGACTCTTGGTTCAAATCCAGCCCGCGCAGGGCAGGAAAGTCCATGAGACTCTTATCTCCAATAAACCACCAGAAAACCAGAAGTGGTACTGTAGCTCTAGTGGTAGAGTGGTCGCCTTGAGCTGATGGACAACATCCAAGCCCAGAGTTCAAATCCCATGACCGACCCCCCCCCCCCCCAAAAAAAAGAATGGTAAAAGTAAAAAAAAAAAAAAAAAAAATACAAATCTGAATGTTAGCAGAGTGGTTCAATGATCTTAGCAATAAATAACTAGTGAATAAATAGTATGTATGAGCAGAGACACAATTTAGAATGATCAAGAACTTTCAAGGACTAAGTATCACATATTAAAATGGATGAGCTTTTCAATACTGGAAGAAGTTAAGGGTAGCTAGTAGCAAAAAAAAAAGCAAGAATGTGAAAACAAAAGTAAAATAAAGCTGAGAGCTGGTGGCTCAGTAATCCTAACTACTCAGGAGGCTGAGATCTGAGGATCACGGTTCAAAGACAGTCCAGGCAGGAAAGTCCATGAGACTCATCTCCAATAAACCACTAGAAAACCGGAAGTGGTGGTGTGGCTCAAGAGGAGTGCTAGCCATGAGCGGAAGAGCGCAGGAACAGCACCCAAGCCCAGAGTTCAAGCCCCACCACTGACCAAAAAAAAAAGGTAAAATAAAGCCAGCACCAGTGGCTTATGCCTACTATAATCCTAGCTATCCAAGAGAATGAGATCTGAGGAACACCGTTGAAGTGGCAGAAAAGTTCCTGAAAGACTCTTTTCTCTAATTAACTACTCAAAATCCTGAAGTGACATTGTGAATCAAGTGGTAGAACGATAGCCTTGAGCACAAAGAGGCTCAGAGACAGCACCCAGGCGCTGAGTTCAAGCCCCATAACTAACAGAAAAAAGTAAAATAAGAAAAACTACTTTTCAATAGAAAAGGGAAAAACAAAACCAATTACAGCTAGCTTGAAAAAGCCCTTTCTTCTTCTTTAATCTCCTGCTTGCTAGGCAAGCATTTTAACTCTTAAATCATGCCTCCATCCCTGAAGATCTTTAATTTACTTAGAAGAAAAATATTTAGTAAATGATAAAAAAAAAAAAAAAAAAAAGCCCACACCCTAGTGGCTCACACCTATAATCCTAGCTACTCTGAAAGCTGAGAGATCCTGAGTACAATAGTTGAAAGCCAACTTGGGAAAACAATTCCTCAAGACTCAAACCTCCAGCTAAGTACTGGTGGTTCATGCCTGTAAACCTAGCTACTCAGTAGGTTGAGATCTGAGAATCAAGGTTCTAAGCCAGCTTGGGCAAAGGCAGAAGTAGAGCTATGGCTCTACTGGACCACTAAGGACTAAACAAAAAAGCTAAGGGATAGCATTTACCCTCAGTTCAAGCCCCAGTATCAGCACAACTAATTTCTTATTTAAACCTCTTTCTTCCAGTTAACCAGAAGCAAAAAGCCAAAACTGGAGATGTGATTCAAGTGAGAATGCCAGCCATCCTCATAAAAGCCAAACGAAAGCATGAGGCCCTGAGTTCAAGCTCCAGCACAAGCCTCCCAACTCAAAAAAACCCACTATGGAAAATATGGCAGAGAATCAAAGCACTACTTTGAAGCCCAGATCCAAGTTCCTAAAAACACCAGATTGTTAAAACAGAGTGTATTTTAACTAACACAGGGATAGTAGCTTCAGAAATAGAGGTTCTATTTACTGGCATAGCAACCCTGCTCCTTTGAACCATGCTGAAAAAAAGGGAGGGAGAAAAAGAGAAATTGGGCATCCTTCATCAAGCCTGAAGCTCTAATCTAAATCAAATACCTACTTATAGACTGTGTTCTTTTATTTTCCCCAAAATTCTTATGTTGAAAATTTTGTCCCCTCAGTAGAATCCTCAAAGGTATTAAGGCTTCTGGGAGATTACTGTGGTCACAAGGGCCCCTTCCAAACAGATAAACTCCACTACAAAAGTTTTGCCAAGTGAGTTCATGTTCCCTTCTACCACCTTTTATCCTGTGGGAGAACAGTAAGATGGTCTCAACAAATTATTTGACTTTCATAGATAGTCAAAGAAAAATTCAGCTTTGTCTTGTTTCCAAAGGCTTATCATATCAAAAGGTATTTAGGAAAAGCCAACCATTCTACTGTGTCAAGATACAAAGGAGGGGAGGCCTTAGCAGGTGTGAATCAAACAGTAAAGAACCTGCTTAGGAAGTAGGAGTTCAAATGCCAGTAAGTGCCTCTCTGAAAAACAAGTATTGATACAAAGAACAGTTAAAATGTAGTCTATCAAGTCTAGTGCTGGTGGCTTAGGCATGTAGTCATAGATACTCAGGAGGCTGAGATCTGAGGACTGTGGTTCAAAGTCAGCCCAAGAAGAAGTAATGTCCATGAGATTCTTATCTCCAATTAGCCACCAAAAAGCCGGAAAGTGAAGGTACAGCTCAAATGGTAGCATGAAAAAGCCAAAAGAGAATGAAGAGTCTATGCTCAGTACTGGCACAAAAAAAGAAAAAGCAGCAGTCTATTAGTATCCCTTAAAATTCCTGATGGTCTGTGAAATTTTAAGATGTCATCATTTTGATGTGCATTATGTACATGTTGATAATATGCTGGTTATACATTTTAGTATTTCAAAAGATTCACTTGTCTTTTTTTGTTCACAGATAGCAAGTGGTCTATTTGTAACTGTTTTTCCTTTTTAATGACATCCAAAGAAAAGTTTAAGGCCAGGTGCTGATGGCTCATGCCTGTAATCCTAGCTACTCAGGAGGCTGAGATATGAGGATCATGGTTCAAAGCCAGCTGGGGCAAGAAAGTCCCTGAGACTCTTTTTTTTTTTTTTGGGTCCAGTTGTGGGGCCTGAACTCTGGGCCTGGACGCTGTCCCTCAGCTCTTCAGCTCAAGGCTAGCGCTCTACCACTTGAGCCACAGTGCCACTTCCGGCTTTTTTCTTTTTGCTTATGTGGTGCTGAAGAATCGAACCCAGGGCCTCAGGCATGCAAGGCAAGCGCTCTACCACTGAGCCACCTTCCCAGCCCGTCCCTGAGACTCTTATCTCCACTTAATCATCAGAAAATCAGAAGTAGCACTGTGACTCAAGTGGTAGAGCTCTCTCTCGCCTTGAGCTGAAGAGCTAAGAGACAATGCCCAGGCCCAGAGTTAAAGCCCTACAACCAACAAAAAGAAACTTTATGTAGAAATATATGCATGGATGTTATCCCCCTCTTCCAGTGTTATGGGAGTTACTTTTCTACTTTGATAGTGACAGAGCCATATTATCAGACTTGAACTATATTTTACAAACTGTATGAAACTAAAAACTAGGAGTAAACCCACTTTCTTAAAAAAAATTCCTAATAATGTGCCAACTATATAAACACATTTATTTTGATAACTGATAAAATTGTGGGGTGGTCATCAAATGTAAAAGGAGATTATGGCCAAGAGCTGGTGGTTCATGCCTGTAATCCTAGCTATTCAAAAGACTGAGATACAGGGCCTGGGAAGGTGGCTCAGTGGTAGAGTGCTTGCCTTGCAAGTGTGAAGCCGTGGGTTTGATTCTTCAGCACCACATAAGCAGAAAAAGTCAGAAGTGGAGCTGAGAGTTCAAGCCCCATGACCGACCAAAGGGAAAAAGGGAAAAAAAAAATAGACTGAGATACAAAGATCAAGGTTCAAAGCCAGCCTAGGCAGAAAAGTCCATGACAGCCTTATCTTTAATCAACCAACTAAAAGCCATAAATGGCAATGTGGCGCTCAAGAGATAGAACACTAGCCCAAGACATGTTTGAGTCCCAGGACCACATACAGATACACACATATCACACACACACACACACACACACACACACACACACACACACACACACACACACACACACACACACACACACACACACACACACACACACACAACCTTTTACTTACATCTTGACTTAATGCCATGAAACTCCTCTGCAATTCTTTTGCAAACTCCAAATTATTTGTGACTTCCTGGTATTTAGATACAGCATCCTAAGAGAAAAAAACCAACTTTATTACAAACACAAAGAGAACCACAAAATGTTCTTATTTAAAATGATGAACATAATATCGTCAATAAAAAGTTAATTTCTTAGCTGGGCGCCAGTGGCTCACACCTGTAATCCTAGCTACTCAGGAGGCTGAGATCTGAGGATCTTGGTTCGAAGCCAGCCCAGGCAGGAAAGTCGGTGACACTCTTATCTCCAATTAACCACCAGAAAACGGGAAGTGGTGCTGTGGCTCAAAGTGGTAGAACACCAGCCTTGAGCAAAAAACACTCAGGGACAGTGCCCAGGCCCTGAGTTCAAGCCCTACAACCGACAAAAAGAAAAAGGGAAAAAAGAAAGAAAGAAAGAAATTTATTATCTTTACCAGCTGATCTTGATTGAGCCTTTCCCCTTTGTTCATTCGTTCCTGGTAATCATCAAGCTTACCCTATATTTAAAAAAAAAAAGAAAGAATTACATTCCTTATTTAAAACATCAGTTTAACAATGCTAAAATGAAAAAACTCAAAGCAGTCTTCTCTCCATCTCAAATTAAATAATTTTTAGAATACTCCAGATAATATATTAAACTTATGTAAGTTTAACAGTGAAATAAATTGAAATACTTTGACCATTGTTGAACTATACTACTTGTAATGAAAGACACTACTCTTTACAGTAGTTTAGAAAAGGATAAGCAGGTTTAGAGAACCTATTTTTCTGAATAAACCACAAGTATAGTCAGTCATCTTTGATAAACCTTACCCATTTATCTTGAATAACATCCATTTATCTTGAATAACATAAGAGATACTTCCAAACTACTGTTTCACATACAGGCAACTTTGCTTTGTTACTACAAGGATGAGGAAAAATAGCTACCTTTTTTCCCCTAAGATGAAAACTTGGGCAGTTTCTTAGGCTAGTGATATTAAATAAGACTCCAAAGAAAAAATATTCAGGACAAGCACCAATGCTCATGCCTTATAGTCCTGTGTTCGTCTCTATAATCCTAGCTGCCCAAGGCTGGGATCTGAGAAACTCCATGTGAAGACAGCCCAGCAGATAAATCCAAGAGCTCTTTAAAACTTCGGGTGTGGCTTAAGTGGCAGAATGACAGCTGTGAGCAAAAGGGGGCAAGAGGCCTTGAACTCAGGTAATACAAAAGTTAAGAATTCAGTTACTATGGTAAGGATGAGAGAATAGAAAGAAAACAGAAAAAATAAGGAATATGAATAGGACTGAGAATGTGGCCTAGGGGTAGTGTGTTTGCCTAGTATGCATGAAGCCCTGGGTTCAATTCCACATAAACAGAAGAAGCCAGAAGTGGTGCTGTGGCTCAAGTAGTAGAGTGCTAGCTTTGAGCAAAAGCTCAGGACAGTGCCAGGCTGAGTGCATGCCCCAGGACTGGCCAAAAAAAAAAAAAAAAAAGAATTATTAATATACATCTTCAAGAGGGTATCAGGGAAAGTACAGAACTCCAGGGAAAAGGGGTGAAAAAGTGTAGCAGTGGTGTTCACTGAACATTGCTAAGTGAATTATATAACTTACAGGTGGAGACAGGAGGGAGGACTGGGGAGAATGAGGGAACAGAGGACACTGCACAAAAGGAAATGTAGGGGCTGGGAATATGGCTTAGTGGTAGGAGAGTGCTTGACCTAGCATGCACGAAGGCCTCGGTTCGATTCCTCAGTACCACGTAAGCAGAAAAGGCTGGATGTGGCTCTGTGACTCAAGTGGAAGAGTGCTAGCCTTGAGCAAAAAGAAGCTCTGGGACAGTGTTCAGGCCCTGAGTTCAAGTCCTAGGACTGTCAAGAAACAAAAGTAAAAAGAAATGTACTCATTACCTAACTCCTGTAATTGTAATCCCTCTGTACATCACCTCTATAATAACAATAAATATTTTTTAAAGAATAATGAAGGGGCTGGGAGGTGGCTCAGTGGTAGAGCGCTTGCCTTGCATGCCTGAGGCCCTGGGTTCGATTTCTCAGCACCACATAAGCAAAAAGAAAAAAGCTGGAAGTGGCGCTGTGGCTCAAGCGGTAGAGTGCTAGCCTTGAGCTGAAGAGCTGAGGGACAGCGCCCAGGCCCAGAGTTCAGGCCCCATGACCGGACCCAAAAAAAAAAAAATTCAGATCAGAAATGAGGTTAAAGGCAATGACAGTGAGTTTTTTTTGTTTGTTTTTAATTTTTTTGGGGGGGTCCGGTCGTGGGGCCTGAACTCTGGGCCTGGGCACTGTCCCTCAGCTCTTCAGCTCAAGGCTAGCGCTCTACCGCTTGAGCCACAGAACCACTTCCAGCTTTTTTCTTTTTGCTTATGTGGTGCTGAGGAATTGAACCCAGGGCCTCAGGCATGCAAGGCAAGCGCTCTACCACTGAGCCATCTTCCTAGCCCCGACAGTGAGTTTTTATTAAGTCAAATGGCCCATTTTTCTTTACACAATGTCAACTTGCACAACATCATTCTACTTTAAACTAAAAAGCTCACTTTTAGTGTAATTAGGTTACACGAGAAGTGTAGAAATCACGAGTCACTAAATCACACAGCAAAATGTTCACTTTTACTCTAGACTTCAACAAAACAGTATGAAAACTCAAGTCTAGCCAAGCACTGGTGGCTCAAACCTGTAATCTTAGCTTCTCAGAAGGCTGAGATCTAAGAATCAGTCAAAAGGTAGCCTGGACAGGAAAGTCATGAGACTCATTATCTCTAATGACCAGAAAACTCGAAGTGGAGCTGTGGCTCAAAGTAGTAGAACATTAGCCTTGAGCAAAAAAGCTCACGAACAGCACCCAGGCCCCGAGTTCAAGCCCCATAACTGGTCCCTCATCTCAAAAGAAAACCCTTTAATAGAGATTTTCAAAACACTCCAAAAGGGCTGGGAAGGTGGCTCAGTGGTAGAGAGCTTGCCTTGCAGGCCTGAGGCCCTGGGTTTGATTCCTAAAGTAAAAAGTCGGAAGTGGCGCTGTGGTTCAAGTGGTAGAGCGCTAGCCTTGAGCTGAAGAGCTGAGGGACAGCACCCAGGCCCAGAGTTCAGGCCCCACAACTGGACTCCCCCACACACAAAAAAGGTCCAAAATTCACTGCTCATGATTCCTTGTACTTATCAAGTTCAACCACCTAATCAAAAGATATAGTATATCAGTGGCTCTGTGGCCCAAAGTGGTAGAGCACTAGCTCTGAGCAAAAGAACTCACTGGGTGGAGTTCAAGCTCCAGGACTGACCAAAAAAAAAAAAAACGTAGTACATCAAATAGAGGCTACAAATCTATGAAACATTTTTCTAAGCACAATAAAGTTTCATCAGAGCTTTAAACAGGTTCAGTAACTATTAGTAATTTCTTCACTATTATTATAAATAACTACCACCTAATCAATTTTTTTTTTGGGGGGGGGGGGGGGCCAGTCGTAGGGCTTGAACTCAGGACCTGGACACAGACCCTGAGCTCTTTTTGCTCAAAGCTAGCAATCTACCACTTTGAGCCACTGAGCCACTTCCAGGTTTCTGGCAGGTAATGGACTTTTCTGCCTAGACTGGCTTTGTATCTTGATCCTCAGATCTTAGCCAACTGAATAGCTAGGATTATAGGCATAAGCCACTAGCACCCACCACAACATTTTTGACAGCACAGAATTTTCCTAACGGCTAAGATGTATTATCACCATATACATATGAGCTGGAAGGGATCTCTATTTATTATTACATATAATTAGATCTCTACATAGCAAAGACTGTTTGTCTAAGTCTGTGATTCTAAATGTGCAGTCCTCAAAGCAGTAGCAACTGAAAAACTTAGAAATTCAAGGCAACACTACAGACCTATTCAATCAGAAACTCTGAAGTTACCATCTACTAACTAGTGTTTTATCAAGCCCTCTGGGTGATTCTATATACACCTAAGGTTGAAAAATATTCATGTAGGTCAAATACCTCAAATTTCCTTAAAGTATCAAGTCTAGTAGAACCTGGAAACAAGCATCAATGGATTAATCTACTGATGGACTCACAATGTGATGGGTCACTGGGAGATGATACTGGCTTTATCTCTGTGTGTGTGTGTGTGTGTGTGTGTGTGTGTGTGTGTGTGTGTGTGTGTGTGTGTGTGTGTATGTTCGTGTGCACTGTGTGTATCAGTCCTGGGACTTGAACTTAGGGACTAGCCACTGTCCCTGAGCTTTTTCACTCATAGTGCTTTATCACTTGAACCACACCATTCCATTTCTGCCTTTTTGCTGGTTAAATGGAGAATACAGTCAATTGCAGTTATGAGTCTCACAGACTTTTCTGCCCAACCTGGTGGCAAACAGTAATCTTCAGATGTCAGCCTCCAGAATAGTTAGGATTACAGAGGTGAGGCATTGGCACCTGCAGGTTGGAGTATCTTGTTCCCAACTCATCCCTCTCTCCTCTTGGCAACTACCATGAGGTAAGGAGCTTTACTCCACCCACATGGCTCTATATCATGATGTTCTGCTTCGTTGTGCCCAAGACATAGAGCCAAATGACTGGACTAAAACATCTCAAACCATAAGCCAAATCAATCTTCCCCCCACTCCTTCAAGATAATTTTCTCAGGCTGCTTTGTCACGGTGACAGAAAAGTGACTAAACACTGAAGAGTTTCTACCTAGTACTTCTTGGGTTTTTGTTTTGTTGGGGCTTTTGTGGTTGTGGGTTGAACTCAGGGCCAGAGTGCTGTCCCTGAGCTTTCTGCTCAAGACGAGTATTCTACCACTTTGAACCATAGAGCTCCAGTTCCAGTTTTCTGGTGGTTTAGTTGAAGATAAGAAAGAACCTCACATACTTTCCTGCATGGGTTGGCTTCAAAAAACAATCCTCAAATCTTGGCCTCCTGAGTAGCTAGGATTACAGGTATGAGCCACCAACACACAACTAGTACATTTTTGTTACATCTAGAGCTGAGAGATGGAGGTATAATTCACATGGTAGAGCACCAACTAGCCAGATAGCAAGTTCAAGTCTTAGTCTGACAAAAAAAAAAAAAATTGAGCTGAAACCCCAGAAGAGGCTTTTATAATTAAATACAGTGATAAATATGAAAAATCTGTGCTAGAATCAGAAAGCCTCTAAGGCAAATAGTATTTTCAAAATATAATTTTCAAATAAAAGCTTAAATTCTAGCTCCTAAGTAGTAGCTTTAGGTGACAGGGGACATATATGATATTGCACTAGTCCAAATACCATCATTTGCTATCTATTATAGAGGAGCAGCTAAGATACCATAAGTGATTCCATCCCTATTTTCACTTTCTATTCAAATGACCAGTGAGTTCATCCAACAAAACCAAAGGGACAAGGACAGGAGAAGGATTCATACAATATAGCTTTCTTCTTACATAAGCTAGAACATGGCTGCCTAGCTCACAGAAGTGATAAAGACGAATTGGTTAATAACTACTCATACTGAATTTATGAGTACTTCACGTT